CAAACTCCACTAGAAGAAAAGGGGGATAAAATGCAGTGGAGAGTCTGAAGGAACAACAACACCTGAGACAGTGCAATGGGTGACCACAAAACCTTATTTTTAAAAGTAGGTCATATCGATATATGTCATACAAGGCATGGCAGGAATGGGCAGACATCCCCATCTGCTTTACCTATGTAGTCCATGGGTGGTTACAGTCCAGGACAATCAAACTTATGAAGCCATTTTATTGCAGGATAAACCTACAAGCAATTTTGTGGAACACTCCATTTCTGCAGTGTGCGTTGCATGGCCATGGAATTATAATATGCAAGTTGACATGGCTTGACAGTGCAGATTTGAACAGGATCCATGGAGCAGGATCCAAACAATAAGTATTAATAAAAGGGAAATGGGTCCCTGAAAAGGAAATATAAGAAAAAAAACTTACCCAGTCAAAGTCTTACTGAATTCTGATATTCTAAAATGGCTACAGACAGAAGATCATAACCTGAAGAGGAAGAAAGCTGTGATCTGATGCAAATAGCAAGAGACAAACGTATCATGGACAGTCCATGTGCCCGCTTGAAGAAGAACTTCCAAAGGAAGACAAAGATGAAATGCCAATGAAAAGGTAATGTGTCAAATTGGGTGAGAAGACACTCAGAACAAAGTATGGGAGGAAGATGAGAAAGAGGAAGAAATCAATCGAATGAAGAGCCAAATCTAATTGGCGAAGGAAGAAGGAGAAAGAACACAAACAGAAGACAGTTACCAAGGAAGAAAGATGTGGAAATGGACACCACAGAAGGAAGCTGTGCAGGAAATATAACAAAGAAGAGAATGTACTGGACATAGAAGACTATCTGGATCAGGAGTAGGATAAAGGTATGAAATGGAAGGAAGGGAAAGTAGCTAAAGGGAGGAGTTATTCTCACGAGCCATCAAAGTGTTAGGGAGGAAAAACAATCCGGACAAAGCAGAAAATATGTAGAAGGATAAAGAGTATGTGAAACCTCAATAGGAAATAAACAGACCACTGATGTCCACAGGCAATTAGAAGGAAGGAAGGAAACATAAGAGAAGGTAAAACAAGGAGCACTGGCAGAGCAGTTCAAACATAGGCAAAGTGAGACAGAGCAGGACCACATTAATATCACCGTCCAGAAGGGCAGTCTACCACAGTGAATGACAAATCCAGAAGGAACATCTCCACATGTAAAGTGTAGGAGAGGTAAATACCTGCAGGATTGGGAAAAATGAAAGGTGTGGGACAGTACCCCTGAAAATCCAAGACCAAGGAGACAGAAGACCCCCAATCCAAAGTCAAGAGAGGAAATCCACATGACTAAGAACAGTGAGTTGATCAGGTGAAAAACCCTGGATCCAGAAACCAATGACGAAAAAGTTCCTTTTACATTGAGAAACTTACATGAAGGAAGGGTGAATCAAACAAGCCAGAAAATAAGCTAAGTGTTGGGAGAAGCTGGATCACCTTGCCAATGACATGGGGAAAATCAGGCATGAAGATGGAGAACAGAAAGGTCTGGATGAAACACCAGCAAAAAAAGGAAGGAGATAGAGGTAACAGAGGAGCTGGACAAGCAGCAGAAACCACAGCTGAGATGGCCAGAAAAAAAAAAGCTATCAGAAGGACTGAACACAGAGTGTCAAAGATGAACAAAATTACCTGGAGAAGAAGGAGAATGAGAGGTGTACCCCACTGAAGTCAAAGCCACTGGAAAACAAAAGGATCGAGAGACCACTCCATTGGATAAATGTTGTCTGGACAGGAATCTGGTCCACAATAAGAGCGAAAGCACCCACAACATGAAAAGTAATGATAGGAATATCGAGCATATGAGCCCAAAAAAGAAAATCCAACATTTGAATGCAGAGCGATGGAGAATGGGTGCTGCCTGGTGATTGAGATAAGCAACCAGTAAAGAAAAGTCGGAATGTATCATTATCAGACAATTTCTGGCCAGATGCAGAAAATGATCCAAAACACGAGCTACAGCAAGAAACTCCAGGATGTTGATGAGATAAGACCTCTCAGTCACAGACCAAAATCTCCAATTCTTCCAGTTGATCAACTCGTGCCCCCCCCCCCATCCCTGAAGGGATGTGTCTATGAAATGACGAAAACTGGATGAGGAGGAGGAAGTAGGACACCTGCCGACAAACGAGTCATATCTTACCACCAACACTGATCGATGACAAGGGTAGGAGGAAGGGTAATAAGAGCCGACAAAGGATCCCTGTGAAATTCCATTGATCATGAAAATCCCACAAAAGAGCCCTCATATCAGCCTGACCTAAGGAGATAAGGGCTACCCTAGAAGATCACATTTCCAAAAGCGATAGAACTTTGTGAGCTGTAATCAAATTGAAAACCCATTGAACAAAGTTGAAGAGGAGAAGGGTGGGCCTAACTAAGATATGTGTAGGAAAAGAAAAACACTCAAATAGACAAGATATTAGATGAGTCACAGTAAGGACTTCTCCAACTTGATTAACAGTCCATTATAGCCTCCTCCTGGAGCAGCTGATAAAAGTAACAGGCAGAGTACTGTTCAGAATGAGCAAAGAGTAGCCAGGTAACCAAAGAAAGAGGAAAGTGCAACCCAAGAGCATATAAATGACAAACAAATGATCCAAACTCCCAACAAAACATACAGGGCTGTAGTAAGTCCAAAGGGCAGTGTGCAAAACAGAAAACCACCCCATGGAGAATATATCAAAGAGAGGGTCTTGAGTGATGAAATTTGGGGATATGCAAAAGATCATTTGCGACATTCCTCCTTGTAATTGATAAACCTGGAGAAAAAGCCACCTAAGGTTGAGAAACGACTCCAAGGTAAAACAGGGCAGATTGAAAATGAGAATTTGGTGGGAAAAAACCTAGTACAGGCCACCAGCCTTTGGTTTGGTGCAAGGACAACAAACAGCCTGGAGAAAGATGATGAACAGATGCAACAGCCTGAGGAGACATAAAATCTTGTACTTCCTTGGACAAATGTAGGCAGGTGGCAGTATCCCAAGTCATGGGGAAGGAAAAGGATACCATGGACAAAGGAGGTGGAAAAAGACATAGTCCCTCTGTTAAACCCGAAGAACCCATGGAACTGTAGTGAAAAAGATTGCCAAAGGATAACAATATAATATAGTCAAGCTCCCAATGGACCAGAGCCCTCTGGTAAGTCTCCGGTACTGTTGGTGACATGCCCATCAACGAGATGAGAAACCCCTGGAATGGGATAGGGATGGGTAGATAAGGGCCAGGATGGGAAGGAATAGGGCCAAGTTAGGGCTCCAACTGGGACAAACGTGCAACCAAAAAGGAAAGGGTCAAGTGTTGATGCACAGATTACACATGAGATTCCAAAGTCTCAGATACATGATCAAAACGTATCAGAAAATCCCAACTACAGTGAAACCATGTGTAAAACGAGAGCCCAAGACGACAAATGAGCCAATATGGAGGAAATAAGGAATCATAGAAAAACGGTGAACTGGATAAAACATAACTAAAAAATCATGTTGAAAAATGCCGTATTAGACCTAGCTGATTCTATAGAAGGAGTAAGCAAAAACATGGCAAAATCTGGTGGTGTAAAAAGACTAAATCTTCATGGGCCCGAACAGTTTGACTTGTTCAGGAGAATTGGTGGGGTAAGTTCAGGAGAAGAAGATTGACCCATATAATGATTAATCTCACAATGGATAATAGAAGAGAAATCCAGGATGGGTCTCACCCACCTGCAGCCTGTGAAAATAGTGCTAGAGGTATAACAACTGAAGTCAGATGTGAACCTCAAAATTCACTATAGAAATACAAAAAATCAAACAAAAGCATTTGATGTAAAATATTGGAGTGTGAGAAAAGAATAAAGACTGGGAAATTAAGTTAAATTAAAATATTCCTTCAATGTAGATAAAATAATAATAATAATGCAGAAATCCCAATTTAGAAATTAAACTATTAAAATCATGATTCACATGAAGAGCACCAAAAGAAAAAATATCTGAACATGAGTACATCCAAACGAGAAGTGGTAGTTCGGTAAAATTGAATAAAGGGAGTCACATATGTCATAAGAGTAGGTCTCAGCATTAATATATATAATAACAACAACTATTTCTTTCTAACAACTAAAAAATAACATATTTTTAATGTTTCAGCTCAGTTATCTGATAACATTCAAAAATTCATTTGAATCAGTTTGTAACACAACTTATCTTATTTATCATATGACTTAATAAGCTATAGAATATTGCTAAAATATAGTAAAAAAAATTTTCTATTCATTATTAGGTAGCCTAATCAGTAAGCTTCAATTCTTTCCAGTATATAATTTAGCAATAATAACTGATATTAATCAAAATGATGAAATTACAGCATAAAAGAATAAATGTTAAAACTAAGTTTCATCACACAGTGTGAATCAAAGTTTTCTGCAGGTAAGATTTCTATCACAAGAATAATTTTGATGCACCTCATTTAATTTTAAAAATGATTACTAGATTTAGTGAAATCACTTACTCTGGTCGTCATCTCAAGAAAAAAATATTGTTTTAGATCAAAAAACCGAATTCATCATTAAGAAAGGTTTTTGGCCACCAACTCATTCATAAAAACTTTTGTACTATTATATGAACTAAATTTATTTACAGGAATATGTCAACATATTAAATGAAGTAATAATAAAGATATCAGCATGATTTTTGATCAGTTTTTCTTAAAAATGTAGAAGAAGTGGGATTTATAACTGATCTTCATAGCCTTTTAAACTAATTTTTACAAGAGCCAGTTTTTGTTTTTCTCAGTGTTTATTATCACAAATTATAAGTATTTCATTCTAATCAGTTTTTTGATTTGTCAAATAAAACGTTTAATTACAACATTTATAGCAAATTAAAATGATAGAGTATGATGACACTGGTAACTCTTGTTAATTTTAAGGAAAATTTTCTGATTTAAATTTACTTACATGTAGCTCTGTTCTAAACTTATATCTTTGATTCATAGTATAGAGTGTATACTATATACTATAATGTATAGTATAGCATTAATCTACTGTGTTTCCTTCAATCTGATAATAGTCTCTAATTTTTAATGTGAAATTTAATGTAGTATTCACTGGAATTTCTACATTCAGTAAATTAATATCCTTACCTCTTTTTGCTCACATTCCAAATTAGCCATTCCAAAGGTATAATTTATAACAACCAAATCAGTCTCATCCAAACCCAGATCCTAATGAGAAATAATCCTTATTACAAAAAGTAATCATCAGCTTCTAGGAGAGAGAATACACTACACAAACTGAGTAAACACAACTGGTTAAACAGATATGATACATTATAATCCAATTTTACTTCCTAAGATATTAATAGATATAGCTAACTGGTTTCAAGCTTGACCAGCTTATTTTGATTTTGGTACTGGCTAATAAAGGTTTTTATTGTCTTTCACCTCCACATATAGAGTAAATGACTGCATAAGATAAATGTAGTTGGTTTTGGTGCTGGCTAACAATATTCAAGTATTTTTTCTATAACACCTGTGATCTTGGAGCTTTTAGAAAATGAAAATCAAGTCAGATATGATCAGTTTATTTGAAGATGTATTGCACACCTTTTCAAAGTTATGTATTAACCAAAGTATGGATCATATGCAAGTTATTTCATGGTTAAATTACTTAAGAAACAAAAGCAGCATTACCATGGTAAACTATGAGAATAACCAAACAGCAGTATATATGTATATAAATATTGTAATATTCATTATTAGTATAAAGAATAAAAATATGAGGTCTACCTGTGTTTTTCTTTTTAAAAACAGGAAAGCTGTTAAATTGTCCAATAAATTGTTTATCTAGTTTAATTTTTTCTTGAATGTTTACATACACACACCTCAGTATTCAGATGTGAAAAACACTCAAAGCAAGAAGATATTCATGATATGAAGTGTTCTAAAACTTCTTTTAGTGAATTTTGTTGTAGGAAAAATATTTAAATTACAAATAATCTCTTAACCACTCAGTAGCAACAATATCACTATTCAGATGTTCATCACTGTTCCACTTACCAGCTATTTTTATTACAACTTTTTTTATTGAAAAGCCTAGATTTTGCTTACCTAGTGACCTACTTCCTCTACAATTATCTCAAAGATATTTCTTTTGTACTTCCTTTCAGAATTTCATATTTTCCTAATCTAAAAATTTGTTTTTACTTAGATAAGCCCCTTAAGAAAGTGCCCAAAAGAAAGCCCATGTAGCGTGACACCCAATGGCAGGGACTTCATAAGGGCACACCTGTTGGAGACTGCATCTTGTCTATACCAGGTTATACTTTTAGCCTGGAATGTAATGGGGGAGAGGAAAATGAGCCTCAAGTGTTGCAAGGATAGGTAGAGTGAGAAGATGACCATATGAACACTTCTACCCAAGAGTCAGCAAGCCAATATGTGTAGTGTAGACCATACAGAGTGTGCTCATCTTGACTCTACTGAACAGACTTTGGATGCAATAGGAGGGCAAATTAGTTATTTATGATGCTTGTAAGGGATTACCCATACTACATTGACAGTATCACCGCTACCTCACTTCTCATTGTATTGAGCTATGCCCATCTGGTGAGGATTCTCCATGGTCCACCACTCCAGAAGTTAGGAACTGATAAGTGTAAAGAGTCTTCCATGCTCCACTCAAAGAAGAGGGGGAGGTGAGAATTTGCACTGGGGAGACCCATAAAAGTGCCTGGATCCCCATCAGACTACCATTAGGAAAGGAATTTTAGTGGAGGTAATGCAACGGATGACAGTGAATCACTATTTCAAAAAGCTTGAACTATTTTAAACAGTTATGATCATAAGTTATAGAAGGAGGAGATTCAGATTACCATAAAACATGCTGTTTTTTTTGACATAATGTTGGCCCATTTTGTATTAATTTGTATTGTGAGGGCCTTCACTCACTATCTTCATAGCCTTGGGCTGTCATTTCTTTTTTTGAATGATTGATTCTGTTTGCCCATTCTCTAATGTTACCCTCTCCTCACATCTCCCTTCTTTTGCAGACTACTTGGTTGGGGTGGCTTGTTAAGATATCTAAGGCTTTTTTCATGCCCACTCACTATTTGGTAATCGGATGTTTTCTTCACCTTTTTTTCTCAACTGAGTTTAACCTTCTCCTCTTTGTCTGCAAACTATGGAGTATGTGATAACAGGCATTCACTCCACTCCATTGTGCTCAAACTCCTTGCTGCTTGTCAAGCATGTTTTCATTCCCTGCTTCTTCTGGTGGTTCAAATAGGTCACAATCCACGCTGACATATCCATGGTGTTTCCTACATATATCATACAAGGGCACTCATTCTAGAACCTTCACTTTGGAGCATTGGAAAAAGCTAGTACCTGAGAAGTGACTGCACAACTTTTTTGGCTTGCTCTTGTCTTAAAATTTTAATGAGATGAATTTTTACAAGAGTATAAAAGTATGCCCTATTAAAAACAGTACATGAATATATTATTTCAAGTAATAGTCTCTAATGTATTCTATGCAAAACATAAGTAGTCTTTCAAGCAAGTTTCTATTTCATTCTATTATACATAAACACCACTAGTCTTTCAAGATAGTTTTTATTTTCTTCTATTATATGCAAAACTGTTTGTTTTTTGTGTTTAAATGCAAAGCTACACAATGGACTATCTGCACTGTGCCCACTACACATCAAACCCTCATATTTTGCATATGAATGCTCTAGCTTACTGCTGAGCCACTGACAGGCACACAAAAATGTCAGTCTTTCACACAAAAGTTTCTATTTTCTTTTTTTTTATCAATATTCTTTCATGATTTATTTCACATTCTGAAAACTTTTACAAAAATTGTGAATAAGTAAAAAAATAAATAAATAAATTGCATATCTTAATAAATTTAGTTTCAGAATATCTTCTTTAAAATATATAAGGAAACACTTGTGCAAACATATTTCTCACCTCTACAGAATCAACTTTGGAAATAGTTGAAAGTGCCTGTTGATAATAGGCTTTTGCACTACGACTACATCCTTTGAGGAAGGCTTCAGAACCAGATTTTAAAGACTGTTTAAGCTCTTTTATCAAAATAGAAAGATTTTTAGTGTCCTAGATATAAAAAAGAAAAGACAAAAAAAAAACAGATATATATATTGTTTTTAAATCTTTTATCAATGAAACTGAACATCAATATATAGCAAAATATAATGATTCTCTTTAATAAATCACATATTTCTGAAATCAGAATCAATACCTGCTGCTAGACATTATTTTTTTAGCCGCAGCATTGCGGCTCTTACAATGGCTTCGAGTTTTTCAAGTACAAACTTTTAGCTCATAGCTCTGTCACCTTTTGACCGATTTGTGATCTAATTACTGTTTTGGTCAAACCCATTCGATCGATGCATTTGACTATGCCCAAGGTCTCATAGATTAATTTACTCTAATCCTGCCTAAAAAATTTCAATTTTAGAGTAGACTGGTAGAGATCCTGATGAGTAATAAAATTAAATCGAGCACCCCAAGCTTGGTATTGCTGACACACAAAAATATAGCTAATAAAAAGTGAAAAAAGGTCACAGAATAATTTACTCTAATCCTGCCTAAATGAATTTCAAGTGTCATGGATATTGAGGATTCCCTATTGTATGTTTTTTAAGAAAATTTAATTACATTATCAAAGCAATTCCAAATACATACATGTTTCCAGAATTAGTTCAACATATAAATCTGTATTGTTTAGATTTTTCTGAGCTACATAACTATCTTTAAACATCCCTTAGTTAACGAAAAACACTAGGTCTTAAACTTTAATTTACTGATTGTAGCACAAGTGAAGAAAAAACCCAGCAGCATCAAGCTATGAATATGAAACAAGTTCTTTTCCCAATTACTGTTAGCCAATTCAGCCAAACTCTATCCAAGTACCTAGTATGCTGTATTTAATACTCTTTATTCCATCCCAATTTTAAACATATTTTCAGGATGTTTGACAAAAACATTCAGAAATCGGATGGAAGCATGGATTAGTTAAAAAGCAAAAAAAAACCTCTCAACTTTCAATTGGGACATAGCCAATACCAGCTATGGTTTTGGGGAATGCTTTAGATACAACAATCTCACAGGTTTGATCTGATGTTCATAACTGGTTACCAAAATAAGTTTGCTCAAAAGTCTGAAAATGGACATTGATTATAGCGAGTACTGGAGTTCAAATGATGCAGGTATGATGCATTTGCATGTACACTATAAAAAACATTTGGATTTATTCAAGTGATGAATAGTTTTGTTAAACTTTGACATGCTTCATCTTGTAATGACAGCGACCCCTGAATTCTCATAACTAAACTTTTTTATACATGCTGAACTAGCTTATTTCTTAAAATAAAAGCAATCACAACTTTCAAAACCTTTTATTTTTGCTCTATTTCAAATAATATTCCAGATAATTTCAAATATTTTAAAGTGAAACAACACTCTAGACACTCAGATAAATCACAAATTCACTATCAGAATATCTATTTTAACAGTCAAAACAGTTTCAAATGCTAATAAGTTTCATTACATTCTTCAAGTAATTATACAGCTACTACATGTATGTGTCACTTGATTCCTGTCACATACCTCATGTGGTGCCTCAATCTCAACTTTGGTAATAGCACTACAAAATAACACTGCATAGCAAAAAAACTACTAAAGCATAGAATTTAACATTAATTGATCTATTATAAATATGCTTAAGTCCTAAGACCCCCTAACTTAAAATTATCAATTTAGTTAATTTCATATGAAATTTACTTTATAGTCAATATTTGTAAATGGTTTCTTATCTAGATTTGCATCTCTAAGTTACAGTTCAATGCAAAAAAACTGTACAAAAAACAACAAAACAAAAACAATAAAACTTTAAAAAGAAGTAAAAAATGCATACTGTAAAGATGAGTATTTGGGTACTAGGAATATTCTCTGTAGTTACAGGAAAGTCATAAGACCACTGACTTATAATTATTGGTTTACTTAATTTCATGTGAAATCTACCTAGAGTCAAGTTGTAAATGGTTCATCTAGATTTACTTCTCCAAGTTACAGTTCAGTGCCAAAAAATTGTACAAAAAACACACAAAACAATAAAACTTTAAAAAGAAATAAAAAAGTACCTACTGTAGAAACAGGTATTTGGGTACTAGGAATATTCTCAGTTTGTTTAGGAGATTTTGGATTGTCTGCTGTTACAGGAAATGTAGTACAGTTAGATTTTTGTTGAAGAGGAACATCTTTTTCAAAGGACCAGATTGTAGAAGGCTGCAAGCTTCCCTCTTCTAAATTCTACAAAAAAAACAAGAATGATAATTTATCAAATAGCCAATTAGTTAATCAACATCTTCATTATTAGCTTATTAATCAAATCAACTCACATACAGTACATGCAAAAACCAACATCCAACTGGACTTGGTTGGATAAAGGATATTGGTTTCACCCATAAGTCCTGGCCACAGGCATGTGCAAACAACTTCAACTTTGTTTATGGAACATTTTTTGACTGCATGGTTGTAAACTAGGCCAAAAATTCTTGGACATGGGCTATGTGGTCACAGGATTGATCATAGAAACCTACTAATTAAGCCTCGCAAGTCTCAGAGCACAGGTATATATTTGCTAAGAAACTGTCATTTCTTGAGATTGTAATTATTAATGATTTGTTTATCACGTAGCTTTCTTATTCTTTCTTTGAATATTATTAGTACAGCTTCTTGTTTTGCACCATTTTATGACCACAGAGAAGGTGATTGCAAAAACTGCTATTGCAACTTTACTTTCCAAACAGCTACATACAAAGCTTGTACATTGTTGGACAGAGCAGATTATAAACTATTTAATTCAATGTAGAGAGAATAAAATGGGGTGAGAAGTAATTCTTTTTCATGGAAAATTGAAAAAATGTAGCTCATGTAGAGTAGAGTTTAGAAGACTTAGAAAAAATTGCAGATTTGGGAATTTTTATAGTTTCTTGAGACATTTTTTAGTTCCTAAAATGTATATATATGATAAATTATATATATTTGAAAGCTACAGAAATTTTATTCTAAAATAAGACATCAGGCTAACCTTATTACATTTAGAGAGTACAACAGGTATAACAAAATATTCTGCTGACTCAAATCCTTAATTACTGAATATTTTGTTCAGTTTATTGTATTCAAACAAAACAAATAAATAAATAAAACAAGTTATAATTTATTGAAAATACAGTATATTTATTAGATATAAGCTACTTTGATCAAGAATATTGTTAGCAACAATGCTGTTACCTAATATGACTTATCATAGTTTTGAAAGATCACATCGTAGGTTATGCAATCAGTAATAACAACATTCAATTTATTTTTTCCTATGATAAAAAAATATTTCATTACTACATCATAATACACAACAGTAAAATCAACATTAAAGTATACATGCCTAAAATAATGGGACAGTGTATTACTGAACAAGTATAAAAAAATTGTAATTAAAAAAAATTAGAAAGTAGGAATGAGATCACCAAAAAGTAAGAAAACAAGATAGGAATGGGCGGGATAACATTACAAACTTGGTGGTTTTTGACATGGTGAAACCTAAAAGTGTGTGTGTGGCCATCATACTGCCCATTCCTAGTTCGCGTGTTTTTGCAACTTGATAATTGTTCAAACTAAATGAAGGGTGTATATATCTAGATTTCTCTGTTATAAACTTTATTTCAGCAACCAAGTACAGATACATGTATATAATCAAATTATGTGACTCTAATAAAACGCATGACATCAAATGTTGTTTGATGTCAGAAGTGGGCCAGGAAGCTCCAATAGTCATATTTTGCTTATTGGAAACACTATAACTACCTGACTGGTAAGGGGTGGGCCAAAAGAATAATATCAAAACCACTGATTTTTTGAAATTTTTAAGTTTGTTGAGTATTTAGAAAGGATTAACTACCAATAAAACTTAATTCATTTTTAAGGGACCAAAACGAGAGAAAGGAGAAAATCTTATGTTGGTAACCTTGAAAAGTCTTTATCCCAGGAAAGAGAGCATTACTGTAACAATAGAGATAAGGTTAGAAACAGTAATGTTGAATATGAGAAGCAAGCCTTAGCCATTAATCTGGCCAAAGCAAAAACTGCTACCCTGGCTAGATGGAAGAAAAACTATAGCAAAGATATCAGCAAGAGCTAGGAAATGTCGAGAGATAGCTCTAAAAAAAGCTACAAGAAGGATAGGCCTAGAACCCAGTCACTCTCAAGACTTAGTAACAAAAAAAGCTATAAGATAAGGGAAAAAAATTTTAAATAGAAAAATTATTAAGTAGGAATGGGAGCACCAAAAAATAAAGAAACAAGGTAGGAATGAGTGGGATAAAATTACAACACTTTGTAGTTTTTTAACATGGTGGAACCTCAAAAGTGGGTGTGGCCATTGTTCTGCTCATTCCTACTTTGTGTTTTACTTTGAACTTTTATCTAATTATAGACAATAACCATTTTGCAACATTACTAATGAGCTAACAATACACTAGTAGCCATATTCTATGATTATGAGCATGCTCTGTGAGTTGCCAAGTTAACCCGCCCTTTAGCCACATCCAGGTGCACAGATTGCTTATGTGCACGTGCTCAGCCTGCAGCTGTATCAGCTAATTAAAAAATACATGGACTATGTAGGTTTTTTAAATCTAGGTTTTAACTATGATCTAACCTTCGAAAGTGAAGTTTTCAGTTCTATACACCTGACTCGAAGGTTCTGTGTTGGACAAAACAATTCTTTCAGAGTAGTCAGTGTTTAAGATGTGAGTCTCCTACGTGAGGACGATTGCTACCACTGCTGAAGTCTGACACAGCTTTGCTCGAGTGCTCTGGACTGAAAACAAGAATGATAAGCTGTATGATTTACCTTTGCATTCTTTCAAACTAAGTGTGACCTAATGACATCTAAGGTTGTATATGAAACAGTGCGATTTTTAAAATATGCCAACTACTTGTTATTACCAAGGTTATAAGTAAAACTGAGAAAAATGCTTTTAGCCAAGGGAGCATAATTCAATCATGTACATTTAGATTTGCATAAAGTAAATGCATGAGAGAGAGCTATGCCTTTCCAACAAGATTAGTCAGTCAGATAGTCAAATAGAGAAACTTGTAGTTTTGTGAATTTTTTTTTCTCCTCTACCAACTTTCTCAAGTGTTTTGGTGGCTTGTTACTCTGCAGTTGGTTTATTTACAACTCAACAGTGCTTATAAAGTTTTGTTTACATGCTGTTTCCAGTGTGTTTGAGATTTTAATCTGTATGGCACATCTGGCCCATTCCTACTGTAAGTACTATGATACTTATGAATAAAAAACTGTATACAAGTCTTAGGTCCAAATATATATATAGTGTTTAAAGTTCACCCACTAAGTATGTACTGAACTTTACTGAACATTATTTGTAATTACAGATTAAGTAATTAAGTTTTTCAAATAATTTTTCTTTCCCCTTATTAAATTCAATAAGGACTTAATTACATGTAAGAAAATGATTTATTTATATATTAGGGCTTAGTAAATGTATAGTTTTACCAAAAATACACAAAAATAGTATAGAATGACAAAAACGAGTGGGCATAAGAAAATACGACACTTTTTGAAAGTGAACACTGTCATATAGCAGGGGGGGTTAGGGTCCATTGGGGACTTGCCCAATTGCCTGGTGTGCCAGGTCCCCCCATAGATGACATTAAAATAACATTTCTTCATCTATAAGCATACTTTCATTTCTGAGTATAATTCAAACATTTTTTTTTCAAGTTACACAAAATTCACTCTAACTATGCATAATAATGATGTTTTCATTTATATCAGGGTATCAGATGATGATATCTTTAGGAAGGAGTGTCAGTGTTAAAAATTCAACCTGAATGTTTTGCAGTTTCAAAATTTTTTCTTTAAGTAGAAATATTATGCACTTTTTTTGCAATCACACAAAAAATCATATTTCAAACATTTAACCCTTTTGCCTCGATCTCCTGCAATTTGCAGGAACCCAACTGGGGAGTGATACATGTACAACAATACATATGGTAACTCTGAGATTTCTGAACATATCCTCACAGAAACTTGTAATATTTTGTTAAGATTATAATCATCTTATATAGAAAAAATGAGATTATTTTAATTAAGTCTTTCTGCTAAAAATATGTTATATATATATTTATTGTAATTATATACATTCAGACACTTGAGTGCAATGAGATTTTAATTTTAAGCATAAAAAATACTTCATCTCACAGTTTCAAGTTTTATTTGCATAACCTCTAGGACCTCCTAACTGAATATCAAAAGTTTTTTAATGTAAATGTTTAAATTTTATTTTTCATTTTCTCTACAATATCACTAACTGTAGATATTATTATCAACATACAGTGCAATGAAATGTTTAAAATTAAGAAACAGAAAAATGTACACATCTTTGAATTTTTCACAGAATATATTAAAAGATTTAATTTTGTTGATATTTTAATTTCAGGTCTTTTCCTTTTGACATATACTTAATTGTTAATGTTTTATTTTCCTTTCCTATCCTTTACTATTTATTATTCATATCGACACAAGTTAACGATGCCATCAGTGAGTATTACATTATCTTCGGGAGAAATGCACAAGCCTTTGGCAACATTATCGTGCAAGATCTTACGCCTTGAGAACTGAAGCAATATTTGAGATAAATTTTAAAAATGTTTAAACCTTTCAATTATGCATTTTAAAACATAAATAATATACAATTAACTAAGATATTAAAGTAAAACCTAAATGCAGTTTAACCATCTCTCTAACTATAAAATATGTAGGTAAGAAACAATCATAAGTGCTATCATGGACAAAGCAGCCACTAATACATCTACCCAATGAAGACAACTGAGCACCAATTTCAAAACAAGTATTGTTGGATTATAGTGTAAAATGAGCTTTTTCTAATGACTATATACATGTGTGTCAACTAACTACATGTGACTTGTAAAGCTCAAAGAACAGTATAGAAGTTGGGCATGGCACCTGTCAGGGGTTAAAAAAATATGTCTCTAATTTCAACAGAACTCAGCCAAAGAATTTTGGAACATACGTGTCAATAGGGCAAGTAAACATACTTATTGTCTAGACGTACATTACCACACTGGGATTATCTTATTCAAAAAAATACTGTTATAGTTGATATTTTTCATAGCTCATGGGTCATGCTTAAGTTTCTTAAAGGTTTTTTTTGAAACAAAGGAATTAAAATCTAATAATATAAAACTTCAAATTATAACATACATTATAATATTAATTTTATTGAGATACATTGATAGCAGAGTTGTTTAACTAAATTTTGAATGTAACTCAGTGACTTGCATAGAAAGGGATTTAAAGGGTTAAATTAACAAGAGGTCTCTGAGCATCCCCGGTTGTCTTCCATTGAAAGATCTCCAATCAGAATTCCTGCCAAGATGTATGATGACAATTATGAGGGTTAAAGAATAATGTTTATACTGTAATGTATTTTTTCTTAATTCTAACATTTTTTACTCCAGTATTACAAAGTAATAATATCTGTTAGTGCAATAAAATTTTCAAATTCATACACATTTTAGGCCACAACCCCATCACCATTTTATCGTGAGTTGGTTTAGAACATTATAAAATCTACACTACGTAAAGTGTGATTATGTATAAATACTGAAGTTTTCTATATTGTTAATTGTACTTGATGACATAACTTTTGATGATTAAGAGCTCAAAATATGGAGAGATGAAAGAAAGCACATGTTACATTATTGATAATGTCAGAATTTACCAACAATAAAAAATACTGTCCTTTATCAGTTTATATGACTCATATAAACATTTATATCAGTCAATCCAGAAATGTCAAATCAATTATATGAAACATTAAGTTTATATACCATAATTCCTTTTAAAAGTAATATTGAAGAGTAAAATGGTCAGATATTGCTTGTAAACTAAAAAAAATCATTTTTAATTATAGTTCAAAAAACATCTAATTAAATTTTGAAAAATGTAAAAACTGAAATTTGACAGATAATTCATTGTATTAGAAATTCATAATAAACTCACAGTAAAAGTATTTGCATTTTTTACTAATACACTTCAGATCAGAAAAGAACCAGATTAAATAATATTAAATCTATACAAAGCATTGATTTCAATACATACAATCATACTACAATTTCTTACCTTATGCTCTATAATTTCTTCATAAGTTGAGCTGTCTTCATCAGAATCAGATGAAGTAGGAACAAGGTCTGGAACATCCTATTAAATGTTAAACAACTAACTGAAATTTCAAAACTTTTGTGGTAAATGGGTGTAATATTGTTTTTTTTTCAGATTATCTATATAATTTTGGTTTACTACTTTTAATAAAAGAAGTAAAAGAAACTCAAAGCATTTTTCTACAGAAATTAACTGTAAAGCTCTGTTGATATTGATTTTTCAAATTTGGAAACCAAAATCAATCAGTATCATCTAATCATGCTTACAGTTACATACAAACAACAAACTAATTCATTCCTGCTAAAATTAGCACTGTTTATATTTCTTGAAGATTCTAAAATCATCAAGGGAATATTGAAGACATAATTATATTGACAAAAATTAAATCAAAAACACTTACATTAATATTAGTTTGCTTTTTCTCTTTTGAATATTTTCCAAATTCTGTAATATGCCTAAGGAAACAAAATTTAAACTTTTGTTAGTACTAAATTACAAATTCAAACAAAATAGTGCATTCAAGTATTTATTATTGAAATCTAAAACCTGTTCAAAACACAGCATACAAATTTTTCTTAGAAGTTATACTTTTTAGTAATTAACTTCGGCAATACAAGTTCATAGTCACTTTATATTCTATTAAAACTACTGTTTTAGGTCCTATCATACAAATATGGTAATTTCAAGGTTAAAAGCAAGGTCACAGTAACTTGAAAATATAAGGGGTTTGTGGATCTATTATGCAGAAGAAATGGTGTAGTGATTTGTTGGAGAAGTAATGAAAGATATAAAATGCAGTTTTATAGTCAATATTTAAATAAAACATTTATTGAAGCAAAGGAAACTGAAGGATACATATAATTGTCAGAGTGGCTGCAGATAAAAGAAAGGTGGATAAATGAGAAGAGTTACACTGCAGCACATATGATCAAAAGGTAGAAATATAATGAAACAATCATGGGACTTCAACAGTAAGCCTTGACCATATCCGAAAAAAAATTCCTCCAAAGCTTATTCACAAAGCACATACTCTCTGTAGCTGACCCATTAAGAGACAAGCACTGGAATATGGATGTAGCTCTGTCTTATGTGACATCGCAAAGGCATTTCCCATACACATAGATAAGTAAGACACATTGCAAGAATCTCATGAAACAGTAGATAAGTTCCTTGACTTGTCAAACTACAAAAAAGTATTGCCTCAGACTAAGTTTTGCATATGATCTCAACCAGATTTAATACATTCCAAAATCAGATAACATTACTGGTTATAAAGTAGTACAAGTGAAGTTTGTCTCACTGAATAAATATATATTGGAAAATGTACTTTGTAATAAGTAAAAAAAAATTGTCACTAAAAAAATTATTTCATTTCATATTTGATTTTCATGAAAAATTTATCAGGGCTTTAATTGAAATTATTAGTAGATATGAGAATATTGGCTCTAATTTTTCACTGAATTTAAATACAGAATGAAATAATATTTCTATTTCTAGTAGCTTTTCATCTACTTCCATCATTTTTCTTGAAAGAACAAAACAGGAATTGTTTAGGCAAAGTCCATATCCACAAATCCATTATCATAATTGATTAATTATATTATAATTATCAAGTAATTACCTAAGAGAGTTATATTATGTAATATCAAAAGTACACTTTATTAAATAAATATTTGATAACATCAATCTGCAACAAATTCCTAATAACATTTCATTACTGAAGTAAAAAAAAAACCTTGCAACTTCTATCAGTACAAGAAATACATCTTAAGTTTCAAAGATATCAATTTTTCACTAAAACTACGGTAAACATGTATATGTGCTCAATCCTAGCTTGTCACAGGAACATCAACCTAATGCTGTAACAAATTTTCTGTTTAAAGTTGACATATAATTTACCAAATTAAAGATATGCCAATTAAGTTATGCATTTAACAAATTAATCTGTTTTAGCACTCATTAACAGAATGGTCAAACTTTATTAAGCTTTAATGAAACTAAAACTTTTCTTGCATTAACTAGTATGAAAAACATCAAGCTTTTGGAATAATTTTTAAATTACTTTCATGCTGTATTAATTATAAATCCATTATTATTATGGACAGACAGATATAAAAGATATGCTTTAAAAAATACAAATACACCATTATATTTTGATATTTCCAGTTTATCTTCTCATACTCCATCTCACAAATAAGTGTAGCAAAATTAATTCCAAAATTAAAGTCTAGCACAGGTGTGCTAGATAATATGAAATTTTACCTGCCTATTGAATGCAAGATAAATATTACAAATATGTTCAAGTATGCCATAGCTAGAATTATAAACACTGATTTTATTAAAGTTGATTGACATCAGACATGATGACTCAAAATACAATGAAAAACTTGCTATTACAAACAGTTAATGACACTTTCTTCATATGTTTTTAACTTAACTCTCTCATTATGGACAAGTTAAAGGGTGCATTTCACAACATTTTAGGGAGTTATTTTCAAAATTTAATTAAACAACTTTATTATTAATGTATGTCAATAAAGTTGCCATCAAAATTCAAATTTCAATATATGTTTTAATTTCTTAACTTGAAAGAAAATATTAAAAACAAAATGTTACATATCCTTTCTATTGTCTTATTCATTAGTTTGTATTGTATTATGTCTACTCTATAACATCTATAGTGGTTAACAAATTATAAGCTCAAATTTTAGACACTGACATGCTAGAATATAAACTAAAAACCTTCCACCTTTTGATTTGCTGAGATATCAATATATTTAGCAAACCTACTGGAGTAGTACTACCATTACTCCATTCTTTTGGAACCTCTTGTCTACTCATGCTTACATCTCTTAAGTACATATTTATAATTACAAGAAAGAGCACATTCCAAACTACTTAAATCTGACAGTTGTTTGTAACTGGCTTAAAAGGGAAAGCCAGATTTTAACTAGAAATGTTGAAGTCTGTTGAAGAAATCATTGCTCTGAACAGAAATGAGATTTTTTAAACTCATATATAGCTTAGTTAGAAAGCTAGATAAATAACACTGATTTTACATGTACAGTATTGTAATTTAATAATGTTTTGACATGTATCTTTCAAATCTACAAAAATTAACATGTCTTCTCCCTCCACTTGAGAGAATAAACTAGGGTTAAGGTGAGGCTCAGCATTAAACAATTATCTTTGCAACCACTCTATTGTAAACAAGCCAATAAATCCTCTCCTACTGTGTTCTTGGGGCCAGGGCTACAATAAACTCTGTGGGAATCTCGGCTTATTGCACCCACACATGCTCATTTGCTATCGACAGCACCATATTATAGTGTCACATAAACAGTCTAATGGCAGAAGCAATGATTCATTGCTTTATGTTCAGCAAGTTTCCACTTCAGCCACTAACAGTAAAATAAACATATAGGAAAATGATATGAAAAGATTAAAGTAGAAACTCTCAGGAGAAATACTTTAGAACTTCATGGTCAATACTAAAAAAGGATAGAACTGTACTTCTTATTTTATTTTGCATTTGTTTTCATAGTGGTTACGAGTTCGGTCAATTGACCAAATGTGTACAGAGTTAGGGTAGAAAATAATAGATAGAATATAAAGTTTTAGTGAAAAAGAACATTTGATAATTATTTATGAGATTTTAGAGAATATGCAAATCAAATTTGATAACTTTCAGATAAAGAAAAGTATTTTTAATCTTAAACTGAAGGTTACTTTGCACTCTAAGCAGTCAACACTGACTCCATATATTCACGGACATTGTTTTAGTAAAAATAATTAATTAAAATTTCTGATATTTTGTCTACAAATGACTTGTAATGTTTACTAAAAGCTTGAAAAATTTCGTGAAGATACACAAAAGATGTTAAAAGTTATAGCATGGAAACTCTGATGGTCACTTTAGAGTCACATGGTCAGTGTATTACACTGACGCAATAGGAAAAGTGTTAAAGTGAGTTATCATGTTGTATGACTACAAAAAATACACATTAATCCTTTTTGTGTTTGCTTTAATATTGTAAGCCTATTATTCAAAACTAATATGAAACTATAAAACATAAAAAAAAATTATATTCTACACACACCTTTCACCTATTTTCTTATGAGTATAACACAGACCATAATTTGTTTCACCTGAAAAAACAAAAAATATTTGTGATAATACTGCATAATCAGGTTCCTTTATAAGGATCAGTTGTTAAAAATTTTAAATATACTTTAATTTTCAAATCAGAAATGATACAAACTGCTTAAACTCATAAATGTACAGAAGGTTAATCACACTTAATACTTAAGAACTTTCATATGCTAAAGCAGTCACCACAGATGTAAGCTGTGGCACTACAAGCAAAATGTTTAAAACCTGTATAGTTGATATAGGCAAATTCCTAACCATCCACCAGTGCAATGCTACCATAGGTAGTCTTATGTTCAGAAGAATATTCATGTAGAATTTCCAAAGAGAAATACTCACACAACAGGACTGTTTAATGGTGAAGAGCCAAAGGGTACAACATGTCAAAGAGGAGAGCCTTAAATGTTCTGCATGGAAGTAAAAAGTAAGAGCAGAGCATTTAGGACAATACTGAGCTCCAAATTCAGACCCCCTAACCCAATCCAAAGCAACACTTTCATCCATAAAGTAAAGGATATGGCTATAACCACAAAAACCATTCCAGTGAAGCTAGGTATATCTCCACAAATTACTTACATATAATTAACAAGGAGTTAGAGTTGATGAAAGTTATTAAGCCAAAAGTTCACTAGCTTCCATTCACACCTCAAACCCAATGGCTATTTTCATGAGAAAAATCACAGCAATTCCTTCTGAACACGTACCTGTTACACCCTCCAATGCAACTCCAATGTATTTTTGTGCTTTTTGGTCTTCTTCAGCATTATCTTTCCATATAGAGTAGATGTCTGTGAAAAGTCTATCAAGAAGTGTGAGCTATAATTTGCAGAATCTTGTTACAATGGAAATTGCCATATCAAGCAGCAATGCACAATCATGGACATCAGACTGAACACAACTAAAAATAGAAGATTAAGTGTTTTTGTTGTTGTTGTTTTTTTTAAGCACAAAGCTACACAATGGGCTATCTGTGCTGCTCCCACCAATGGTATCAAAACCCAGTTTTTAACATTATAAGCCTTCAGACTTACTACTGAACCACTGGGGGCAAGATTAAATGCAATTAACCTCAGAACATACATAGAAAGCTTGCTTATACTGATAACTACTAAATTTTTCACCAACAAAATATTTCTATCACACATACCTGATGATGAAATACATTAGGTGACAAAAATCAATTGCAATAAACTTCCAGGTTTACAAATCAAATGTATTGACTGAAACTTACTTTTCCCTAAAACAAATTGGCTGCTCCTGTTTATAAAGAGGGAGAGAAAAGAAATGCTTCTATTCTAAGATTAATAAATGCAATTATATAACTACAATTACAGAATTCTTACAGCTATTTACTCTAACATCCCCAACCATAAATTAATGCAAAGACAAATTAAATTGGTCTGACAAATAATGATGCACATGGTACATAGATAAATAAACAGCTAAAATTAATATCCAAATACACAAAGTTATAATGTTTTTGCATGCCACAAGCCTTTCATTCCCACACACCCCTTGATTCATATGGTTTAACTGATTCTCACATGCAAATTATCATGCAACAAACCTCCACCAATAGCAGTGCCACCCACTTACATGACTCATATGACTCCTTCTATGCTATTCTACCTAACTATCACTTCGAGTTTAGGCAGAAACGTAAGCACCAGTTGACAATGGGTAGGAAGGGTGGGAAGTGTGAGTGGAAGTAAGTACATGTTGGAGATACATTTTCGGTGTAAAAAATTATTACTTCTGACAAGGTACGTTAACGCCTCTCACATACATAGCTAGAATCCCACATTGAACAGGTAGAGAGACTGGTGCAAGAGAGACAGTAGAAGCATCCCTCAAAAGTGTCTCAAGGACATCCTAATGAGGGAACCCTCTAATAAGAGGATTATACATGGGAGACCGCAACATTTCTGTACCAGGTATACTCTTCACCCAGATGTGGAAAAGGTGTGATAGATCTGGGAGAAAAATCATGAAAAGCATATCTCACTGGGAGAGAAAATGGTTGGTTAGTGATCTTAACCACAAGATATTATAATTTCAATCTCCCTGATGAATAGAATGTGGGTCAAATAAAGGCTGTGCCCCAGGGTGTAGAGTGGCTAGGGCACGACGGACTGTACATGGCAAGTCAACTGCATCCAAAACTTCACCTCCAGAAACTGACATCCATGTGGGGGTAGGACGAGGATCATACTGACTTCACCTCTAGTTAACCCAATTGGAGGGAGAAATCTCGCCACGGATCTGTGAACAGAGCACGTGACCACAGTGAAATACATATACATCCCACTCAAATCAAACCGACTGGGACCACCTCAAAAGCAGTAACATCCTCAGCATAAAGACATCATGGGTTAGGGCAAGAGGAAGAAGCGGAGCAACCAACAAGTACACCCACTGACTTCACTTCTAGTTAACCCAACCAGAGGGAGAAATCCTACCACCAATCTGTGAACAGAGCATATGTGGCCACAGTGAAATACATACACATCCCACTCAAATCAAACAGACTGAAACCACCTCAAATGCAGTAGCATCCTCAGCATAAAGACATCACAGGTTAGGGTAAGAGGAAGAAGCAGAGCAACCAACAAGTGCACTCACTGTGACCCTCAACACTGGGGTAGTGCACTCGAGGTGAATTGAGTGAGGGACCAGGGACACCCTGAACATATATTTGAGGACTCATAATGAATGGTTTAGCTCTAAATTTACAACTCAACCACTGGGAACCGACATCCATGCAGGGGTAGGATGAGAGATCCCAATCGAAGGGGTTACCTGCATATGCCCGAACACTAGATGTGTGAATACAACATGTCAACTGATTCAGCTCTAAATCCAAACCTCAACCGCTGGGAACCAAAATCCATGTATAGGTAGGATAAGGGATCCCAATCATTATAATGGCGCACTCCAAAGCTGAAACATCCCTTAAGACAAATCCGTGCAGAGATGGAGCATCCATTTTGAGGATGTCTCATCATCTACACTAGCAGAACACCACTGCCCTACTATCAACTGAATGGAGTCTTTATTGTTTATATTGTATATCTCTCATTCAAGAGGATACCTCCAAGGTCCACCACCCCAGTGGCTCGAAACTGGAAAGTGGTAAGGATTCTCTTACTCCTCTGGAAGAAATGGGGGGGGGTGCAGTGGAGAGTCTGGAGGAATGTTCACACTGGAGACAGTCCAATGGGTGACCATGAAACCCTATTTGAAAAGCAGATCAAACCCGATTTTTTCAAACTAAGGAATGGCAGGGATGGCCAGCAATCCCCTTCTGCTTTACCCATGAAGTCCATGAGTTTGTACAGTCTGGAACAGGCACATTTGTGAAACAAAATTATTGCAAGGAATAACCTATGAGCGATCTTGTGGACATGGAAATTGTGAAAGTAAGTCAACATGGCCTCACTGTGCGGGTTTTACATGACTGAAGTATACATGGACAGGCACCACTTGCCACAGAGTGGGATCCTGGTCAAAACATGGGACAGGCTCCTGAACAATATATATATATAACAAAAAAAAAACTTACCCAGTAACAGTCTCACAGAAGAGTGAAATATGGTACCCCGGTCAGGAAGAAATAGCTATCGAAAGCAGATAATGGGAGATGAATGTATGAGGTGTAATCCCAGTGTTTGACAGATGAAGTACCTCCAACAGACAACAGGGTTGAAATGCAGGTAAAAGGTAAGGTGTCTGATCGGAGTAAAGACACCAGACATTTATTATAGGAAGAAGGAGACAAGGAATAAAAAGACAATCAAATCACAAGCCGAACCCAATGGGTAAGGGAGAAAAGGGAAGATCACAAACAGAGGAGTGGTGCAAGGAAATGAAATTGTTGGAAATGGAGTCAATGGAAAGAAGCCTTGAAAGCAATGAAGCAATTTGGAGGATGTACAAAACAGAGAGGGTCATCTAGATCTAACAGAGAATAAAGATGGAAGAGGGCAAGAAACAAAAAATGATGAAAAGAATATTCCACATGAACCCCCAAAGTGTAGGTTAGGAAAATCGATCCAGAACAAAAAGAACATATCAAGTTGAATCATCCAAGAAAACCAGATCTGTGCCAGCCAGGAAGGATCAATCAGAAAGACCAGACCCAGAGTGACATGGATGATCAAAATCACCTTGAGAAGAAGAATGACAGGATGAGAAAACCAAAGTTATAAACTGTATCCAATCCTGTCTGAAAGTATCGACATCCAAGGCGAGTGGATGAAGTTCTGGAGACCGAAACAAAAGAGGTAACTTGGAATCAAGAAAAGAGGCAAATGCTGTCCATGGAGAAGTACCCCACAGGAGGCAGTGCCACCAGAAAGTTGAGGATTGAGAAGCCACTCCTTGGGAGACTGTCAGAACTGGATAGGCAATCTACAATGAGGATGAAAGCACCTGGAACAGAACACACCAGGAGATGTATGTCAAGTGTGTAGGATCAAAAAGGGAGATCCACCGTCAATCACAAAGGGAGCAAGAATAAGTACCTCCTTAGTCAAATAGTTGGAATAAAACATGAATAATCAAATCCGGACAAGAGGATGAAAGTAAACTAAAGTACATTGGACTGCTGAAAATGCCAGGGTGTTAATGTGGTAAGACCTTTTGTCCATAGACCATTGACCTGAAGCCTCCTGCTGATCAATCCATGCCCTCCAACTGTAGAGATGAGCATCAGGGAAAAGAAACAAATCTGGACAAGGGTGAGGAAGTGGTAAACCCAACAAGGTGGGGATATGTTCAACCAACAATGCATATAGTCAAAGAGGGAAGGAGGAAAGTTAAGAGGAGAATCCAAAGGAACCCTAGCAAGAGACCATGGGTCGTGCAAAGTATCATGAAAAGATTGCAAATGTGCCAGACCCAAAGAAAGAAGCCACATCCCCCCCCCCAATGCATTAGAACCTCACTAGCAGTAATAAATTGTGTAAAAGAAAGCTCCATTGAATTCATTCAAGGAGGTGAATGGATGGTACCGACAGAGGTGAGTGTTAAAAAAGACACTCCTCAAATAGACTAGATTGTTAGGTAGGTAACAGGATAAACTTATCCAACTGGAAAATTCAACCACCCAAGCTGCTTGTGTAAGAAGCAGATGAGTATGTTATGGTCACTCCCATTACAAAGGAGCTAACCAAAGCTAGACGTTCAAGTATCAGTGTTAGTAAAATCCCCCAAAATGCAGAAGTCAGGTAAAATGCAAACCACCTGACAAAAGACATATAGAACTAAATCAAGTCCGAAGGGCAAGAAACAAAATTGGTAAGAATCACGTGTGTGAAAAAAACCTAAGAGAGCATCCCGAGAAATGAAAAATAAGAACATGTACCATGGACATTCTTAGTCCTGCAGAAATTGCCAACCCAATTGTGATCAAAGACTATATGCTATAATGGAGAAAAACCAAGAAGTGACTGAGGTGGTACCAATCGATCCAGAACTCCAATCAGGATTGAGCATACACGAGGAATAGAGAAACCCATATGTAGGACAAGTGAAGAATAGAAAGGTGCCAGACATGGAACACGAATAAAGATGGCAATGGCTCACAATGACACAAAAGAGCAACCAAAAAAAAAATAGAGTATAGCATCTCAGATGCTCCACGCGATGCTAAAAGCACAAAAGGAAGCAAAAAAAAAATGGACCCATGGAGAAAACAAACCGACCCTAAGTCCCTACAAGAAGTGGATGGTAAACAAATGGTACAAGACAGTGTCCCACCCCACAAGATCCCAAAAGAAAAGAAGCCATGTGTGGAAGGAAAGAATCAAAGAAGGCAAATGCCCCAACATAGAGGGAAGGAGGAGAGGTATTCCACGAAAACCCCCTAAATATAGGTGGAATGCCTAAGAAAGGAAGTGTAAGGTAGACATTTTCTGAAGAAGAGTCGATAAGGTAAGACGAAGCTGTAAAACTAGATTGGGGATAAAATGGATAGGATTAACAGACTGCCCCCCCCCCCCCCATACAGGCAACAGAGAGTTTAAATACATAGAATCAAGAAGGAAATCTGTCTGATGGTACGCGATAGCAAAATGAATAACAGCTGTTGTAGGACGAGGCATGCAAGTACCCTCTCATAAAATAAAGACAAAAATGCTCATCATGAAACAATGTCTGGAAAAGGAGGAAAAATTATACTGTTTAATGTCTCTAAAAAGGCTGAGGTAGGCCTAATGGGTTCTACAGAATAGACCTGGGAAGGCAAGCTATAATCAGGTGGAGGAAAAGTGACAAAATCTAGGTCATCTTAAATGGGTCCAGCAGTTGCAGGAGGAAGGTGAGCAATATCGGGAGAAGGTAGGATGGACCCCAGACCACAGGGGTCCTCACGAACTAAATTAATTGCAAGAAATATACTTTAGAAAGAATTACAAAAATGAAAATTTTTGATAAAATGTAAATTTAAGTGTGTAGTGAAATAAACATAGGTATTAGATGGTTGTGTAGAAGAAAACAAGATATTTAATCTAATTATCGATTTACCTGTAAGATGAACTACAGGTAAACCAAAAATAACAGACACTAATTGAACTTTGCAGGACAAAGTATATCACGAAGATCCAATTTAAAAACCCTAACCTAACAAGAAGTATGTAAAATATCAGGAGAAAAAGTGAATATAAAGAAGTATAAAAGATAAATAATAACGAAAATGAAATGAACGTTATATTGTACAATTAAGTAAGTTAGTATTGACAATAACATATGTATGAGATATGATATTATGAAGAAAAACAATATAGTTAACCTAACTTATGATATACCAGTAAGATGAATTACAGGTAATCTTAAACTAACAAACACCCATGTTAAGCCTAATCTAACGTTTTAGGATAAAGAATACAACTAAGTTCTAAATTCAAACATGAACTTCACTATAAGTATTGACCAATCTAACTAAACTTATGTTATTGAACCCAAATAATGACAGATAATAATATTAGCAGTAAAACTATTTTAAAAAAACCATAACAGTATAATGTATTATCTTTCCAAAGTTGGCAGGCTATATTTCAAAATGTGTAGTCCCCCAAACTCAAGTCGAAGCCTGACGTAGTATAACCAATAATTCCTCAGTCGAAGACCACCACCTGAAGTCAGTGTAAATGTGCTAATAGAAGATATAACCTATGAAGTAATAACTTAGAACTTGGAATTCATAATTCAAAACGATTAACCAAATATAACTATGTTGGCAGAAAGAAAAAATAAGTAGAAAATTTTTTTTAATGAAGTATTAAGTTCCGTAACTTTAGAATAAGTTACAAATCTCACTATTGTATAATAAATAGTAAACTTGTTGAGAGGAATTGATAAGAAGATATGAAAAAAACAATAACACTTGAAGATAGCACAAACTAAATATCTGAACACAAGCACTGTCAAACAAGAAGTGACAGTTAGGTAGAATAGCAAGAGACACAGGAGTTATGTGGGTGTATGGAACTACTATTGGTGGAGGTTTGTCACATGATAATTTGCATGAGAGAATCAGTTAAACCATGTGAATCAAGATGTGCATGGGAGTGAAATGCTTATGGCATGCAAAAAATTATTTGCAAATAGAGGGCAGCACTGAATGAGAATAGCAATGTATGTGAGAAGAAGTAAGGTACCTTGTCGGAACTTCAACTAACAAGAAAAGGAAAATACATTTTTATGTTTTTTAATATAAATATTATGAAAATACACTTCTCAAAAACCACTGTTTAATTAAACAGCATATGTTCTTGGTTTTTGTCTCAAAACTCTCCTATTCCTGGGATCTTAATTTGTTGAGTAACGGTACCATATTTCTAACTGATGTCACAAGAGTAGACAATTGTATTACAGTACTCTCAGAACTTCAAATTCTCAGATGCATCAAAATCATCACAACAGTTACCTTATAACAAGTTGAAGGGAAGTTTGATTTTAATTCTGCTCAAGGGGTATAAAGCCAAACAAAAAATGAACTTGGAGATGAAATTTAATACAATAACAAGAGTGACAATTAACCCATTGACTGTGGCTGCTCTAAACGTGTGCAGAATTTTTGCTAGCTGTACACCATATACAGTACACTTGTTCTCAACTGTGGGAGGCAGACAATACCCTATATGATGAACCAGCATGTAATGGAGGAATAGCAACAAGAGTTTAAACAATAGTTAAAAAATAAGTCTTGCCTTATTTTGTTAAAAAAAAAAAAAGTTAAGTTACGGATTAAACATGTCTCTTATGCAAATTTGGAAATTACCTAAATAGTGTAAAATTTATTTTCACTTAAAAACTTGTACTAAAACATAAAATGTCCTTAATATATTTGAAATATCCTTTCCTGATTTTCTGACATTATTTTCTCAATATAAAAACTATAGTATCTATATGCAATGAATGAAATCATCCAAAGACAAATGTATTACAGCAACTTTTTATGAACTTACATTGTCTAACTAACTGATGTTTGAATGAATCTAATTCAGATAGATCTGCATAATCAAGATATGCACAGCGGTTCTTGCCAAAGTTACACACATTATGAGCAAAGTGGTATTCACTCTGACCTTCCAATGCTTGAGCTAGTCGGTGATAACCCTACAAAATATAAAGAACTATTCAACAAAAAATAACATTGTAAAGGCATGACATGTAGTCTCAGATCAAAAGCAATATTTGAACTTTATACTGAAAACAATAGTAATAATTCTTAATGCAATGAGAATAGATCACTGATACCAAAAAATTTAACTTTTTGCTTTTGTCAAATGGAGTGTTACTGCATTTTTTACATTAAACTGACTAAAATAAATACATGTATAAATGCAACTTACTTTTAACCAGTCAGGTCTGAGAATAATAGCTCGTCGACTATCCAATTCAGCTTCAACCCATTTATGAAGTTTTAGATACGCCAATGCTCGGTTAGAGTATAAGACACTATTGTAACGGCTAAAATATAGCATAATTTTAAATGGTGAAAAAAAAATGTATTTCAATGTTAAATACTACAAATGCACCTATAAACACTAACATAGTTTTGTGACAAGAATCTTTCCTCAAGTAAAAAATGTACAACACACAGGGTTTGTATCTTTAGCTCTTGTTACCAAGCATATGCTTTAGCCAATTACAAAGCCATCATGTCTCAAGTGCTATAAAAACACATTTCGCTTAATTTTAATAAACGACAGAAGTTAACAGAATTATTGTGCTATTTCAGTTAGCTTATGAACTCAGAACTCATTTGTTTCAAAAATGAAGTGAGAACTAAGATTTTATGGCATTTCAGACACACTGATTTTTTTAAATGGAGAAGACATCTGGTCTGTTAGTGGATTCAAATCCAATACAATTTTTTTTTTTTTTTATATACAAACAATCTAACTTCATAAAAACAGTATGATACCATAAAAACTTCTAAGGTTTGGTAACTCATTTACAGTTTTTAATAAACACATGCACAGGAAAAACTAATGACATCCTATGAAATGTAGTTTCAACTAACAGAATTGAGGAAAACAAAAACAATTATATGTTTCACAAATATTTCACTTATTACAGTCACAGTTTTGCCCACAAAGGCATCATCATGATCTTAATAAAGTGAAATAATTGTGAAATGTACAACTGTCTTTTTTCTCAATTCTGTAATTACAGTTTCACTAAGTACTGACACATTTCAAGTATTAATTAGTTTCAACTAATTTATTTTTGATATATTTTTAAAAATTCAAAGTGAAAATGAAAAAATATATTTTCTACCTTTCTTATTACTTGTTAAACTAATCTGTTTTCAAAAGGTTCATGATTACCTCCCTACCTGAAAATGTTCTACCTTTGGAAAAATAATATCACAACATAAAATACTGACATGAGATCAGTTCTACACATCACATTATAAATCACCTATAAAACAAAGCTTTGTGCTACAATATGTACAGAGTGTTACAAACCAATTATTCATAACAGTTTTACTGACCTGATTTTTATAGCTTTTGTATAAGAAGCAATAGCTTGAGAAAACTGTTGATCTTTGTACTCACAATTGCCCATAGTTTTCAGTTCCAAAGCCTAAAAGAGTTAAAGTTCTTAACTAAAAGGAAACTGCATTTTTTAATTTTTGTGAAATGAGGAGATTGATAATTCTGCTTTAAATGCATAGGTAACAAGCAAGTGTAATACAAACTAACTGTTATACAAATGAACAAATTCACTTTGTTCACATGCAAACTTTGAGTCAATTTTCTTAAATTTATTTCACTACATATACCAATACATATTTTTTCAATCTAAAAGAAGTCTGTTAAAATACCCTTACTTTAACAAAGACCCATGCTGTAACAGTTAAAAGATACTCACACAAAAGTAATGACTTTTTAACCTTTTCTAAATTTCAGCTAACCACATGCTTTGTATATGTAATTCTCACAAATCATTTAACCCTATTACGATCTAAGAGCAGCTTTCTGGTGTTGAGTGCACGACTACATATAAAATTTCACAGTCTAAGGAAAATTAGTAATTCTAAGTATTTCAACAATTTCGTTAAAAATATTTAAGAATTGATATTCTACATCTCTGCTAGTTACTTAGCGTAAGCTACAAAGAAAAATTTTAAAATATGTTGAATTTTGATCTCTATGCAGCTCCAAGGGTTATCGTCTGTTAACAATGCTTTTATAGATGTTTTTACAAGTTTCTGTCATTCCCATAGTATAGGTTTACATTTATTCATAACCTGTCATCCTTTAGAAATAGACTTATCCATGTTTAGTTTCTCACACAACATTCCATTTATCTCAGTGATTTTATTTTATAAACCTTGTGTTGAGAGGCTTTTATGGTGTAACAGCAAGTGGATTGGACAGTAACTAATATATCTTAGTCTTGAATCCAGATAGAACCAATAGCTAAAAAATAAAATAAATAAATTGAGTAAGCAGTAATTTATGATTTTTGATAAAGTGACTAGTGAAAGTATTCATAGTAGTGAAAAAAAAAAAGATTCTAATGTGTGGTTTACAAAACTCATGAACAAGCCACAAACCTGGGAATTTTTTTAGTTCCTTTTGATGATTTTTTTCAATTGTGATAATCTTTTTGTGTTATGTTCATTTTAAAGCTACAGGAATATTCTTCTATGAGAATACATCATGCTATGAGTTAAGCAATGACAAACTATTCAGATGGCTGTATATATTAGTAAAGTTAATGTTAATCAAAAACAAAAAGAATAAGAACTCCTTAGCTATTGAAAAGAAATGATAAGTATTAGGAAGAAATTGAGTTTCACCAAAAATATAGTTGAAAAAATATCACCTGTATCATTGTAGGCCTAGGATACTAGTGCAAGTTGTGCTACTACTAGCGAATGTTTTTACTGTTTATCAACGTTTTATGTTATTTTCATGGCTATATAACTGAAAATAAGACCCAAGTGGAAATATAAAAAGGAAATTTTTGATCAATAATATAAAAAATCCAGTTTTATTTCTTTCACGTTTTTAATACTTATTTTCATCGTACGTAAGAGCTTGTATGAACAGATGAGAAAATGAGTATGCTGTTACTAGAGTAATACAGATACAAAAATTAGTTTTATTGAAAAATAACTCTATTGGCTACATTTATATGATTTTAGAAACACAATAAATACAACAGAAACTCCAAAAAGAAAAAGACATTAAAAAAATATATTTTTAACCACTATTTCACAAGAAAATTTCCAAAATGTACAACTGAAAATATCATACAAATACTAAAATAAATTACACATGCAATTAGATTAAGCATTTTAAGTGTGAGAACAAAACAAACAGGAAAGAAATGATATCTTCCTGCTGGTCTGAAAAAGGGTTAATGCTAACATGAAATTAATGAATCAATTAAAGCTTCTAAAGTAAAAATTCCCAATTCACATTCCATATTTGTACTGAATGGAAACTAACCTACTATGTATCACACAGTGACCAAGAATTCAGGCTGTCTGTGGATGAACAAGTCAAATAACCAATTTATTGGCGAACTGAGATAACACTTGGAACCAAATGTGAGAGATGGCAAGTTTAATCATACTATCACTGTTTTAAAATCATTATAACAAATATTTTAAAAATTAGTCTTTTAAAAAAACCACCATTACTCATTCTCACACATACAACTTTTTTGCTTGACTCACAAAAAATACAAGTCTCTTACAAATACTGTAAAAATGTGCATTAAATTCTTATTTACTGAAAAGAAAAAAAGGGCCATTTCAGAAAAATTTAATTGTTTATAACATAAACTGTGATAACTGCAATTCTTACCATTTATACTAACAAAAGAGGACAATGTAAAACACAAAAGTAACACATTCTTCTTTTGTAGGTTGTGTTTCTTTAACTTATCATAATATTTTTTGAAGTGATTACACATACACATATACCATGACACAAGCCACCACTTCCCTTACAACTGACATAACCTCTTTATTGCCCTTGTCATTTCAACACACACAACTGGGTGGTGTGATATAAATGTTAGTCACACAACATATTACAGAAGGCCCTTGAAAATAACAACTGGAGATTGGGCAGTTTTATCTGACAAATTTTTCATATAAATTTATGGTTTTACTATCCTAGGATTTTATCTATCTGTATTACATGCATGAAACATGAAGTTAGATTTCAAACCATAAAATATCATAAAATGGTTTATTTGAAATTTTATACATGTAACGTATGCCAAACAATTTTGATTGTGTAACAAAACAAAAGATAAGGGCAATATTATACATGATACTATTCATTCTGCTGTTGTTCCTCTTGATCAAAACAATGAGGTACAGTGTATACCGTAGTAATGCAACAGCGCTCCCATTCCAAATAGCATTGTAATGTTTTAACAGGTCTTGCTTGTCATTCTCAGCATCTTGTACATTCACGTTCAAAATGGCCCAAGAAAAGAAGACCCAAAGAAACTATAAAAAATTCCTAGATATGTGGTTTGTTTCAAAATCTTCTAAGTACCCCATAAGATTCTGTTGTTATTCTTTGTGGGAATTTCATCTTGTCACTTTTCCACAAAACCATAAATTACTAATCATACTACTTTCTTCAATCTACACTGACATACACAGTTTTATAATCTGCTCTATCCAACAGTATTTAAACTTTGCCTGTAACTATTTTCAAAGCTGAACTTCCTTAACTCCTTAAATGCAAGTGAATGCTGCCAGCTTCCAGCCAAAATCTGATTTACCCATCAGACAGTGACAGCACCCATAACATTTATGTCTCTTTGGCTGAAAACTAATCTAGACCATATTATTATGCACAAAATTAAGAAAATCGGAATTTTATAAGGAATTGTGATAATCATTAGGATATCATGAAAATAATTCCAGCAGAATGTGCAATAAATTATGGGTTTAAAAGGGTTTGTTATGATCTCAGAGCATGAGATGTGAACAACTATTAACTCTTTTAAACCGATAATTTAAAAGGATTGGAATGAGAGACCAATAAAGTAAGTGAAAGAGAAGGAAAATTAAATGTGAAACAAAACATGGATAATAATATTCTACCCTCCAGTCTGATGGCTTACAATGCTAAAAAGTAGGTTTCAATACACGTGGTGGGCACAGCACAGATGGCCGATTGTGTAGCTTTGCGCTTAACTACAAACAAAGAAAATAATAATATCTTGATTATATAAGATTTCAAAATATCAATTTTAAAATATTTTTAAGTTAAAAACTGGTGAAAAACAATTATTATTTTTACTTATTTTTTGAAATTTGAAATGCAAATAAGCATTCAATATCTAAAAAGTGCCTTATACTCCAGAAAGGGTTATACAGTAATGGCAACAGCCTTCATATGTGGTAATGAAAGGAATTCTTTACCTATATTTAAAAATTCACTGTTCTTTTCCTTTTAATGTTGAACAAAATGAACCAATTCCTTTAATACTTAGTAAATTGCAAAATCCTATACTTAAGAGGCTGTAGATACTAGAGGCAAGGGATTTTATTCCCTCTTGTGCCTAATATATATATAAATGAAAGGTGTGCAAAGCATGACAGTGTTAGGATGGTCTGGGGGCATGCCCACCAGGAAATATTTGAAAAATAGGTGCTCTGTGATTGAATTTTGCACTAATTTTACTAAGTATTAATAATATACTAAGTACTAAGTATTAATAATATGCAAGCACTTCTTCATGCTTCACAAAACTAGGTGTTTACTGACACTTATACTCACCATAGCAAAAAGAAGGCACAAGCATATACACTTGCAGATTACACATGTAATTTATTATGCATTTTTCTATTGATTCATACCTATGAACAATTTTTGAAGTGCAAGTTAAAGTTTAAAAAGCCCTACAGTTACTGTGACAAAATGATGAGACTTGTAGTAATTATGACTGCAAGCCCAACAATGAGTAACAGTATCAGCATAAACTCAATTAACTGTAAACCCTTATAAAAGAAATCATGTTTGAAGTTAATCCTTTATTATCAGATCATTTTCAAAACAGGTACAAAACAGAATTCCAATTACTTAAATACAGTTTTGTAGCAGAAAATATCTTAAGCTACTTACATTATTTTCTAGATCAATTTTCATCTGTACTGACAATTTATAACATATTTTCACAAATAGAGAGCTACTATTTAAAATGCTAGATAGAAAAGTCAAATTTTGATGACTTGTATCTTTTTTTCTTACTGTTTACTCAGGTGGTTATTCAATAGAAACTCAGGCTGAATGTGAAATTTGACACATATTATAATCACATATTAGCTTAATTAATATAATACTCACCAGCATAAGATATACATATTTTTTGGAGGGGAGATGGATTACTTGCATGATCAAAGCAACCATAATAATGAATTATTTGCTTGTTTCTTTCATGCAAGGATTACTTGTGCTAGCTATTCCTATTTTTGAACTAACAGACAAGAGGAAAAGCAGCTAGTTAACAGCTCCTACCATAAACAATGCTCATAAGTGTAAAGAACTGTTTTGCAGCAATGAGATCCTAGCCATGGACCCTTCGATTCATGGTCCAGTATGCTTGCCACTAGGCCATGACTAGCCATTAATGGATTGATTAGCCCTATCATGCCCAGGTACATCATTTGGAAATAGTTTATGTAGCCCAAATCATATTTCATTCTAAAAATAATACAAAAAAAAGAATTTGTTTGAAACTTTAGGGGACCTTTCCTAAAAGCGTGTAGTTTCAGAAAAATATTTGAATTTTGATTTACTTAGTTATTATGTATTATCAGCTTTGAAATCTTGGGAAATTACATTAAAAAATGGTTTTTATAAGATATAATTAAAATATTTATATTTGTTACAGATTTGACCTACTTACTTTTATATTTTAGTAAATTATTCTAAAGATCTCTGATAATGTTTTATCATTTCATAAATTGTAAATTTTTCTATTTTCAAGTTTTTTAATCACATACTTTCCTTATCTTTACAATTACTATATAACAACAAGTATAATATTTCTAACTAAACCAAAACAATAAGAAAGTCTACATTTTTTATTTCTAATTAGGATTTCACATGCATATATTTAACAAATTTTAAACTTACTTCATACATTTATCTATATTTCAAATTTGTGTTTAAATGTGTCCCAAGTAGGTTTATTGGGCCAATGAAACAACCATATCAACAGCATGAATAAGTGTTAAATTGTCAGCAACATACACAATGTCTTTCTTCTCAATGACTCAGTGCAGATGGATTTAAATGTTACTGTAGAACTGATAGAACAGTGCATGCATGTTATTGTGTGTCACAGTACGTGAATACAATTTTTACTTGACCTTTCAAACAAGTTTATGTTAGCAAATATTCTAATATATATACAGCTTAATGATGCAAAGTCGTACTTTGCTATTACTACTACTATAGTATTGTGAATGTATTTCAAAGTCACATGCAGGAAGTATATAACATCAGTCTGTGTTCTGGCTGTGTTCATATATATTGATAAAGTTCACCAAAGCAGAGAGGCCCCATAATTTATAAAGCAAGCGACATTATAGAAACTAATATTAATTTAAGTCACACATTGCTCATTTTAACAGTCTGAAGGTAAGAAATATTGTAATTAGGAACTCAAGCTTTCTTTTTATGCATTCCCAACTCTGCTGTGCGAGCCTATAGTCTAGATGTTCTATTAAATGCTTTTCCATGCACCAGTTTTTGCTTTTTTTGACATGAATGTGTTTAGTTTAAACAGTCAGCATGGTGTACTTATTTGTTTTCATATAAAGTCTAAGTTTCAAATACATCCTGGGCTCCCAAATCAACAAGAGCCCAGTTTAGTTGCTAGGAAAAAAAAGACCCTGTTGTCCACAGATCTGAGTGGTTATGAGGTCAGTCAAACTCACCGATCCTGTATAGAGATAGGATAGAGAAAGTAATAGATAAAATATAAAGTTTAACTGAAAAAAAAACGTTTGAAATGCATTTAGGTGGTTTTAGAGATTACACAAAGGAAATTTGAGATTTTTGAGATGAAGAAAAGTATTTTGAATCTTATCATGAAAATTACTTTGCACGTGGACTATTCAAAACAAATACTCAATGTATTCATGGACAAATCTTTATTTTAGTTTATCAAAAATACTTCACTAAAGAATATGATTTTTTGTACAGGAAAGACTTATAATGTATACTGAAAGACTGCCAGACTTTGTAAAGATATACATACTATATTAAAAGTTAGTAGTATCAAATCTATAAAGACTTTAAACGAGTACAAAGAGGTCAAGTGGTTGGTCAAATCAACCAAACCTGTTTTAAGAGAGTTAATGTACTAATATCATAATTATACAAAAAATAGGCTTCAATTACATTGACAACTGATAACAAAAAAAAAAAGAGAGAGAGAGATCAAATGTAAGTACTATATTTCTTGTTTTTCATCTATATTTTTTACTTATTGTTATAAAAATAACTAAAATATAAAAATTAGAAACTGATTAGTTAAGATAATAATAAAAAATAATAATTCTTCACAAAGTATGGTTGCAAGCAGTAATGTGAGCTACATATTCATTGAGTGATTTACAGCTTGTGTAGTGGGATAATTAGTTAGTTTGACACAGTTCAAAGGGCAACAAAATAATAAAATTAAATCTAAACACATGTAGACTGTTATGAGCCTTAAGCTGTTTAAGATAAACAATTATGGTTTTCTGTTATAGCCTGCATTCATTCTAGAAAGAAAAAAAGGATAATTTAGATATATTTCATATTTTTTATGGTGTTAAAGTGTTGGTCAAATTGACTGAGCCCATATAGCGTTAGGGTAGAGAGAATAACAGATACGATATAATGTTTTACCAAAAAAAAATATTTGATATTTATTTAGAAGGTTTTAGAGGTTATGCATTCGAAAGTTGAAAATGTTCAGAGGAAGGAAAGTATTTATAATCTTAACAGGAAAATCACTTTGCAAGATTTTAGAGGTTATGTATACGAAAGTTGAAAATTTTCAGAGGAAGGAAAGTATTTATAATCTTAACATGAAAATCAATTTGCAACATTTTAGAGGTTACACATACAAAAGTTGAAAATGTTCAGAGGAAGGAAAGTATTTATAATCTTAACATGAAAATCACTTTGCAACATTCTCACTCCATATATTCACGGACAAATCTTTATTAAAAATATTTTATAACAAAATCAGGTTTTTTGTGTCAAAAAAACATTTATATTTATTGAAAGCTTGCCAAATTTCTTGGAGACACACAGAGAAGATTAAAATTAACATACAATATTCAAGTTTTAAGTTGAAAGTTCTTACCTCATTTTTATCACATGATATTCCTTTCATTTCATCTGCTGTATTTTCAGAAAAAGATAGACAACTTATAAGAACTGAAACAGAAATGAAATCAAGGTAAATTATATATAATGTATGCCCAAATATAAACACACACTAACAGATTAATATGCACATTAGCATTTAGCCTAATAAAAACTTCAAAGTCAGAAAATGTAGTCTAAAAATGTATCTATTACAATACAACTAGTTTTTTGAACATTTAATGGGTAAATTTGCATACATAAATATTCACCCATAATTCTTGGGCTACTTCTGTCTGAACAAATTGTAGGATTTGACAATCACTCTTACAGTACACCCACAGCCCCAAAGTGCAAACCATGTGTGGGCACAATAACCATACCCAGCCATATACGCACATATTAGTATAAAATAGGTATTTTCAATGTGAAAATAACCCATAAACATCAATAGTACAGACTGAAAATTTGTTTTATATCACAAGAGGTAATAAAACCCTCACACAATAAGTTTGTGCATTTAGTAGATTTTTTTTTCTCCATATATTTCAACTAGTTCCTAAACATATGTTACAAAAACATCAATATCATCAACCAACACAATTATACTGGAGTTTTTCAATGTAAACCTCAAATTTTTTATAATTAGGGCCCAAAACATGTACGTAAACAATAACCTTATCACTACTACGTATGGTCTTTCCATTGTGTTGGAAAAAGCACACAAAATATAACAAAACTAGAAAGTACAAAATATAAATGCAATATTTTTGATGGAAAATTTGAAATTATAAGCCAAGTATTTTTTTATAAGTGAAAAATACTTACATAATTGAATGGTAATCATAAATGCTGATATCACCATCTTTTTGTTTTTCTCCGAATCTCTATTTATAGATTTCCTTGAGAAAAAAAATGCTAACTTAAGACACAAATATCAAAAACACAAACTGTAATGTTAACTATATTAAACTGTACTGATTCAACTACAAATCATGTTTGTTATGATTTAAATTAAAAAATAATACATTAGAAAAGACCCATAACAGAAGCTTACAATCTGCCAAGTTCAGTCTATGATACTTGTACCTGTAAATATATTTTTACTAACACCTGTTTTCTGATGAAAACCATACAACTTGTGGTGAAAATAACCAATTAGTAAGCCTATCAAACTTGCCTTTATTTACCATTATGAAACTCAGACTTCATCCTTTTTCATCCAAACAAAAAAGAAATTCACAAGACAAATTTTCTCTCTCATATTTTTGGCAGTATAGTTTAATTTGTGTCAGATTTCAAGTGTGTGTGATTAGAAATTACAAAAAAAGCATGAAAGTGAAAATTTGTCCTTTATTCACCTCTTGCCTGTTTAGAAGTCAGTATGGGTAGAAAATCTGTAACTGGGTACCCACTGTAAAAAAAAAACTGGGAACCCAGGTCCTTTTTTGGGTAATAAAAACACTTGAACTAAGTTTATCACAAATATTCATGTTTTAAATGCATAATACATAATTAAATGCTGAATATAATACACATTTTTTCCCTTCAGATCTGTAAACTTGTGTACCCTCTTTTAGCACTGAAAATGACTGTTTCAGCCTCATCTTATACCAGACAAAGACCTATTCTCACAACTGCACTGTTGTCATATTTCCTAAACTTTCAAATTAATAACTGATATCCACGTAATACAAAAAAGGAGATATGGGTTCATGTAAATTAAAACTCGAAGAGGAAGTTAGCAGTAAGTTGAAACCAACAAACTCCCAAAATCACTGTAGGAGCAAGAAGAAAAACAAACTGAACTTGGCATTACTGGATCATATCGTTGCCTCAACTTAACCATAAGAACAAGGCAATATCTGTAACTAGTATTAAGAGCATAAATCTTAACTCACCCAACCATACAGGCAGGGAAGAGACTTCCTGTATCTGGAATTATGAGGAGGATATAGAACATTCACTCAACCATAGGAACAGTGTTCTGTTGCTGGTATTACAAGGCAGATGAAGTCCCCCAAACTCCAGCATAGGAGCAGGGAAAGAACCACCTGCAACTGGAATTGACAAGAAGGGGGCCCTCTAGTGCAGGAACAGGGTGGTATCATCCTGAACCCAATATTACAAGGAGGATCCCACGTGGGCTGGTCCTACTCCAATCAACAACTGTCCACCTGAGAATAAGCATCCAGGAGAAATGGAAGGAGGGAAACTAGCTTTGCCCTCTTCTCACTATATATATATATATATAAAGAGAGAGTTAAATATCTACAACACACTCAGGATGAAATCTCCATGGTCCACCACCCCAGCGACTGTGAACTGGTAAGTACTACCTTGCTCCACTCGGATCAATTGGGGTAGGGGAGTGTAAGCATGGTGGGGAGTCCGATGAAGTCCATGTTTTGAAAAGCAAACCATCCCTGATTTATTCAATCAAGGGGTTGGCAGGAATGGGCAGAAATCCCCTTCTGCTTTACTCATGAAAGTCCATGAATAACTTACTGATATCTAGAAACATATATATACCACTTGGCAAGCCACCAGCAGTTTTGTGGAATACTCCATCTCTACAGTGAGCTTTATAGAACTACCAGTAAATAATGCAGGTTTAAAGTAAAGCATACCCGATCAGACAACACCCACCACAGAGTGGGATCCCATTAGCAGTGGAAAAAAAAAGAGAGTCTCTATAAAGAAAGCATAAATGAAACTACGTAATAAGACTTACCCCAGTCAAAGGTTAACGGACTTGTGCAAAATCGCCAAAAGAGGGAGACAATATCCACCTGAATAAGATATGGCCAGATCTTGCATATAATGAGCAACACAGGTATTAGGAGTAGTCCACATTCTGGCCAGAAGGACCTCCTCCAAAGGATGGCAAAGGCAAGAAGCTAAAGGCATGATGATATGAGGAGTATGATGAGAAGAAACACTGTGAAGACAGCAACCTTCCATGGGGAAGTCAGAATACACCAGCCTAATGAGTTGACAAGTCTAACCAGTTAGTGTGACAGGGGATAAATCACAAGAAACAGATGTATTCCAGAGAATAAATAGTCTGGAACATGAATCCCGAAAGGAGACAGTATATGCCACAAACACTGTAAGGAGTGAACTGGACAAAAAAGTTGATCTGGATCAGAATGGAGGTAGAGATGGAAGATTGGAAGTAAAGAAATGGGTATGATAGCAAGACAGTCTTCACAGGCAGCATAGGTCTTAGGAAGGAAGGACCAGTCTGGATATAGGATGACATAAGTGGAATGGTAGAGGATTCGAGTAACATTAATGAAAACTGTTTAACCATAAAATAATTTTTTTAATGGCAAAAAAGCTCAATCAGAATCAGTAGCTACACATAAAAAACACATCTAAACAATGTAGTGCCAACTGAGAAAATAAGGGTTTAGCAGGAATAGCAGAGAGAGCTAGCTGCACCAATATAGGTAGCACAATACTATTTGTGGAGAGTAGTCACATGCAATGTACATGTTCATTAGTGGCGCAAAATTGGTGGGGTACATAGGCTGGTGCATTGGGTGTGAAACTTTTTAGCAATGCTTACAGAGCAGAAAAAAATCAAGATAGCCTTGTGTGAGGCAAGGTAAAACCCTATCAGAATACTAAAGATAATTAAATTGTTTAGTTCATAAAAATCAGAAAAAATGAGATTCAGCATGTTCTTATTACTTTTTATAAAAACTACCACAAGATAAAACTTTTAAAATTTAAATTAGATTAAGAAATGAATTCTGACAGTCATGCAATATTAGCAGCTTAGTGTCATGTTTGTACTAAATATAAATTCAATAATATCTCTTAAGACATCAGAGGAATTGTCAGCTTTTGTTTCTCCAAGTTACAGTGAAGAAATAAAAAATATACACTTCAGGAAATAATGTTTTAACTTCTCCATCACCTCTCATGTGACAAAATTGAAACAGGTTCCTCTAAAGTTATGTTTCAAACAATTTACTGTAAAAACCTTCCATCCCTAAAATACTAACAAGTGCTTGGTATGATTTTATCTTACTAATTTCCATATTAGAAATACCTTAAATTTTAAAACTTACCAAATTATTTTATACAAATCATCACATCCAATGCATCTCATAGCTTCTTCTAGGTTATAACAAGAAAGAATTTCCTCAGATCTTTGTCTATACTCAATTAAAAGTTTCTTGTTGAAGGCACATTTATCGGATAAAATGAACAGACTCTGAAAATGACAATATTCAGTGAATGATAAGTTAATAGTAAAGAAAATTTTGTATAGAGGTACTTACAACCCTAATGTATGGTATTCTGAGTAAAACTATTCAGAATCCTTATTCTGTTATCAACCAGCTTGACAGAAATTCCATTAAGTACCCAAATAATAGACAATCAATGAGGAGAACACATAAAAATCCTAAAGACTGAAAACTCTTATTTTTAAGGGTATATAAAATCTTATACATATATATATATATAATATCACTAATAATTTATATACTTGTTTTGTGATAACAGCTTCTCCTCTGGTTCAATATCAGAAAACATAATGACAAACCACCATTTAGCGATTCCATGGATCACTATAATTTTTCAAACAAGTGCTGTCTACAATAATCCAAAGTATGCAAACTTCTTCCCATAGTACTATATTAACAGCATGCTGTGTCCAAATATGCATATTTTCAAATTGCTCTATTATCACATATTTTTTGGTTGTTTCTTATGTTCATTCACAGCTAAACAAAAGCTTTCTGTACACACCATCAATTCTTGAGCTACTTTACTCTTATCAAAAGGAAGGATTTGACCATTTCTCTCATAACACACCACATTCCTTTAGTATTCACAGTCTGGTACACTAAACAATTAAGCCACACCAAGCCTAATAATGTATTTAATAGGAGCTAGAAAAGACAATGCTAGCAAATAATAATATTTCCACTTAAATAATTCTTCACTTTGATATTATGGACCATTTCATAAGAGTGGCATTTTAACTGCAAAACAGTCATGAGGAGTGGTCAATCTATTTTATGTTTCTCAATGTATGTGCACAACTGCTTATGAATGAAAGTGGGAATAAGTTTAAGTAATGCAATATACCATAAAAGAATAAGCTAACATAACAAAAGCTTCATATGTTGAATAAAATATAAAAATTCCTTTCATGGCTGTATATAATGCTATCTGTGGTGCAATGTAAAATTTAGTATAAGTACCAACATGCAATAATTTTAGTGAATATTCTTAGAATATTTATATTAAGGAATTCTAAAATGCCAGTGTTTTGGTTTGTCAATGGCTCCTTAGCTTTTGTAGCCATGCAGACTTCAAATAGCATCCAGAACAAAAACAATGCAGATGAGACAAATTTGCTTTTTTACATTTTTTGCAGTATAGTTTATTTGTGTCAAATTTCAAGTCTGCATGATTAGGAGCTACAAAGCATGACAGTGCAGTTAAATGCTTATATTTTGAGTCATTTAAAACATATCAGTATCTGTACTAGAATTGAATTTTTTCAGGGGGGGGTAATATTGAATTTATTGCCTATTTCTAAAGTAACCTTAACACAAAAATTCTGTTCACAGAGAAGAAAAAGAACACTTATAACTGGTGGCTGAGCCTTGTGAGTTGTAATTGAGATTTCAGCTAAAACTATTGCTAACAGTCAGAGTACCCAACATATATGACAACGCATTCCAATCTTTATAAGTAAGAACTTATGAACAGTATATTTCATTAGCTATACTCATTATCAGGTTGATTTTAGCAGTAATGTACAATGCAGATAGCTGCTTTGATCAGAATACTATCATTAATAATTGTGACTTAACCTTTATATTATATCATTAGAAGACCACGTGCAAATCTTCTTCTTAATTTAAACTAATGATCACTCTTTTAAACTATACTACATATAACTAACATGTACAAGATTTTAGAAATATATTCATTACTACAATGTAATTTGTTTTATTTATAATTCATAATGGTAAAATCAAGATTATACTTCATTCTTTACGATCTATGTTAAACATACAAAAACTCTTTTAAGGATTATTCTTACTGAGCTGGCTGTTAATGGCCATTCAAAATAAGTCATAGTAAAGATTATCCACAACTGGCATTACCCAAACTGTAACCAAAAATATCTTTCCATTCTGAAGTCACTTATTAAGATAACTGTTGTATCAGTGATTTAAGACTAAATTTCTTGTCATGTGTCTGAAAATTGCTTCACATTGTTTCAATAATAAAAATAATTAATTAATCAGATTTGCTTCAATATTTTGTAAATATTAAACTTTAAGATTCAAGGATAATCTAACATTTTCAAGTTCTTTTAAACTGTAATTTTTGCTCATATAATTCTTACTATTTGGCTTAAACTGTGAGAAAAATTTTTATTTCTGAAGTTTAATTTCACATTTAGCTGTTGACAAAATGATGTTGCAAATCAAATGATCTCTGGAAATGTTTTGAACAGTATTAATGTAAAACTTTTCCAATTTATGAATTAATATCTGTAGAACTGATGTGTAAGTAATGTTTGTTATTTGTTTAAAATATGTAGTAAAAAGAAATAATTTGTTGTGTAATAAATAATTACAAAACAATGGTCTGTACATGTTAATTTAAGCAGACTAGTCAGCTTAATAGATGTGGACCACAAGATTTGCCCAGTTACTGATTTAGTGGACCAGCAACTCAAAAAGTAACTTTCCCATACTGGAATACCAATCATTGTGTAATAGATTTGTAACAGATGTGTTATTATTAAAGTCTTAATGTGGTTCTATTCCATTTTAGGTAACAAAAACTATAAAAGGAACATGTATATTTAGGCTATGTTTGTTTTTCATTTTTAACTCTTGACATTTGTATTGTTGTTATGCCAGATGGAGTGTTGATGTCATATAATAAGCATGTGGCTTAACACCTTGAATTTTCTTGAAAGTTTAGGAAATGATTTGAAAGTATAAAAACATGTGTTAGTCAAGAGTAGATTACTGAGATTGGTGACTGATTATAGAGTCAGCTAGTTAGTTCAGTGCTCTACATTTTTCTATTTGTCTTCAACAAAGTACTAGGGATGTAAGAAGAATCATAATTACAAGAATATTAATAAGTGAAATCTCTATTGATATACATATTTGTGAAGTTAGGATTAGGACTATTGATAATTAGCTGGAGTTTTTACAAGTATTTATACAAATTCTAATTGGAGGAACAGAATCCTTGTATTACTGTTAAGTGGACTGGATTATATATTTTTTAACAAACAATCCAAAATAGAATCCACCTATTGTAAGAAACTACCCTACAACAGAAAATGTTACAATAATATTCATAACTTCATAAACAATGTTTCATAAACATTTATTAAGCAACACATATTTGTAAACTTCTAAAATAAAATTAAACTGTCAGATCATTCACACAATAACTCTACTTGTTTGCCAAACAATTTAAGTATTTTTCAACAAGTTCTTAACAATATATAGTTATCCAATCATTAGCTGCAAACACAACAAGAAGGGAACAGAAAAATATAAAATATTTGGCTAAGTTTATAGATTTTTCTGAATATAAAGAAGTAAAGAATATATTCTAGTAATTATAAGTCTTTTTATTGCTACACTTGGAGAACCAATCACAATGGAACCAGATTACAATATCCATGCACATAGGAAAATATTCATAATGCAAAATATTTAATGTATAATAGATAATTACAAGAGTAAATAAACAGTCTGGTCATCAAAATTGTAACTGTTAGTAAAAAAACAAAAAACAGGTCATTTATTCAAAAGATAAAGATTTTCAAAAATCTTGTTACTTTGCAACTAAATGCTTAGTATATTAAAGGTGGTAACAATTCTTGTAACATCAGACTGTTGTGAATATACTCCCATGTTTAAACACAATCTCAGAGTTGATTTATAAACATATAGTTTAATTTATCTACCTGTAACATTAAACTTAGATGATACGCTATCGAATCTGCAAGCTTCACAATTTCTCTTATGTCTGTATCAGCACGGCCATCAGGAATAAAACTATAAAAAAAAAGAAGAGAAGAGAGATTAAAATTAATTGAATACATTTTGTTTTTATCCAATATTTCTGTTGATCTTGAAAGACATTAATCTTTTCTTCAATGTTTATAAAGTCAATCTGCAATGAAAATTCTTACTCTCGTCCCTCATCTGGCAGTAGCATTCCCTGTTTAGCCCAGCCTGTTAATTGTGGATATTCTTCATCAAAGTTCTTTTCAAACAGTAGTGGCTCCATACATTTTTTTCTGACAAACCAAACCAGTGACTCCTTTTCTGGAATTCCTAAAACAATGAGAATGTATAACATGTGAAGGAATGAATTAAAGATATTGACGATACCTAGTAAAGATTATTTACCTTGCCACTAATATTGTAAAAAAACAACAAATATTAGTTTGTAACCTCTTACCCAGATTTGGTAAAATTCCTTACTCAAACTTAAGCAAGTGGGTATTTTAAATTTGTAAGCTTAGAAATGAGTTACTTAAGTTTCAATATACAAAACTCAACCTTTTTTCCCCCCATTGGAATTACTTTTTCAGGAACTTTTAATTTCACTTTTATTAAAAGATTTGTTAAATTTATTTCAAAACTTTCATATATACTACACAACACTGGTTAAATGAACACTCCTTTTGGGATATTTCACAAATGTTTTTAAATCCAACATTTAAATTGTATGCAACTTTTTCTACCTCTAATGAAAACTGCTTGAGGTTTACTTACATGTCTAATTAGTGAAGGATTAAAACACTTTTTACAGATATCTATATGCATCATAAACCATTTAAGAAATGTTCACTAACTATGTATCACACTATACTGCATACCTATTTCCCATATTCCATTCTTCAAGTTCTGAAAAACAGAAAATCAATACAAATGAAAAATGTATATTGTTTATTTCAAAAGTTCTAATTACATAAATTCAACAAAAACAAAATTATTTAGATACAAAACTCAATTACAGCTATTTCTTTACATAATCTATAAAAATCATAAGAAAGAATGCAAGTTATTTCAGACACAGGTATACTAACTGAACATTTAACATTTTGTATTGACAGTTCACACAATATTTTACACCAAATAAAAGAATTGGAAGGAAAATATATATAGATGTATTGCAAAGCTCTAAACATTGAGATATTGGTCTTAGTTCTCATCAGATTTCTCAGCAAATAATTAATACAGCTACAATCACAAGCCAATGTGATTGTTGAAATTTAACAACATTTTGAACCAATCTCACTGTTTTATTTGAAGCTAAATGATTATCTTTTGCTTTCTCTCATAGATTCTTAGAATTTCTCAAAAATTTGATTTTAATGTAAATAATAATTAAATAACCAGATCAAATTAAATTTCTTATCAAACCATTTAAATTCATAAAGATACACAATGTACTGGGCAAATTATTTAAAATGAAAAGTAAGTCAGGTGCCTAGTACATACTTAATACATAAAGTATTAAATTAAGCTTGTTGTTGGTGTTATTTTTTTATACAAGTGCTGAAAATAAATCAAACACATGCAAGTACAGCAAATGTTTTCTGTAATGTTTGTAAAATCTTTAATCAAAACAGAAAAAAATTATGTTTAATATTTTGGAGCTTTTATTACAGTTTCAAACAACAAAAAACATATATATTAAAGTTAGTGTAAAAAAGAAAAAGTAACTTAAAAATGCTGTTTATTCATTTCACAAATAATTCTCACCTCAATTATCTGATGTTTATGTGACTTACAATCAACCAATTCAAGAAAGTCTTCATGTAAATTTGAAAAGTCTCCACACCACATTATGAATGGATATCAAAGTATTTAAAATGCCAAGTTCTGTAATAGATTCAAAACAGAAATATCAACTCAATCATCTTACAACTTCTTTAATCTTCTATAGTTATTCAGCAAATTAAAAGTTCTTATAAGTACAATATCCCTTAGTGAAATTTATACAACCATACTTAACCCTTTCTGGACTGAGGAAGGGAGTGCCAGTTGATTTTTTTCTTTCTTACAGTGAGAATACTTTACCAGTTTGTGTGATGCTTAAGACAAATTTATTAAAGGTGTCTAGTATCAAATTTAAAAAATTATTATAATTTGATTTAGTTTTTCCATTTTGTATATTGTGAGATTTTCAAAAACATTTGAGACCTTTTTTTAAATGTTAAAAATACTTTCATCTTAAAATTTTTTATATATGATCAGAAAGTTCCATTTCATATACACAAACACACATACACATAAAATTTTGAAAAAAAAATTATGTAGAGATGCCAATGCCAAAAAGTACAGAAACAAGGTGGGGATAAAAACACAAAACTATACAAAAATCCCTACACAAGTAGCCAAATCTTCCCAAGAAAAACAGTTGCATGAATTCAGGTTTTAATAAAAGCATTTAAATTGAATAATGCTATAAAAATCTTACAATGGCTAATTCCCATAAGCTTGTAAAACTAACTTAGTGGCTACTTATGTACGGATATTTGTATGGTTTTTTGTATTCATCCCTACCTTATTTCTGTACTTTTTGGTATTGCCATCCCTACATCATCCTTGTTTTTTAACATTTTTTATTACTTGTTTCCCCTCTTTTTTTTTTTAACAATACCAATGAATATTTTACAATGAATAGCAGTTGCTATGAAGATAGCAGTTCTAGCCTGGCATGATGAGCCTGATGGGCATCCTGTGTTGAAATTAGGACTCCCCAAGTTAAAATGCAACATTTTAATTAGTAAATCATTGCAACAATTTCAAGCATTGGTGAGCTAGCCCTTCTGACACGATAATCAGATTAATCAGCAGAACATTTGGCTGTTATGCTACTTGCTGGTTTTCTACCTTAACAATGTTTTTTGGCTAAACAGAAGGTTTGTTTGTAATTAAGCACAAAGCTACACAATAGGCTATCTGTGCTCTGCCCACCACGGGTAACGAAACCCAGATTCTATCGTTGTAAGTCCACAGACATACTGCTGTGCCACTGGGGCAAACTGAAGATCTTAATATCTTTAGAAAATCTCAAAAACTTAAGTTAGGTAGTTATAAAAGTCATTTAGATTGTTATAAGAGAGATTTGAGACTATGATGAACAATATGTAATATGCATCAGCCATTTTTTCCCGGCCCATCCTTACATACTAAACACTACCATGGTTAGTGATAGTTAAATTCAATTTTCTTGACTTTCATTACTACATTTCTTTTGAGACTTTATTTTGCTGATTGAAGTTGCCACCACATTGGCTATAAACCATAAAAACACTGTATAAACTGACTTTTCAAAATGGTATCAGATCATACTAGACAACAATATTATTGCCTTGCTACAGTAAGCAATCACATGTTCTTTTCCATGTCATACTTGTGAAAACACTGCTCCCATTGCAAAATCACTGGAATCTGTACCTAAAACAAGTATATCTTCAAGATTTGAATATACTAATATAGGAGTACTGATAAATTATTTATTCTGTTTACTGAAGGCTTACTCACAATAAGCAGTTCAAGAAAACTTAGCTGGTTTTTTCATGTAATTTTTGTAGAGGACAAGCTATGTCTGAAAATGATTTTACAAAATGTAAATAATAAGAGAATAATCCATGAAATCCTGTTACCTTATGCAAGTTTCTTGATGTTGGCCAGTTCTGAACAGATTCAATCTTAGATGAGTCTGTAGACACTCCCTCTGTACACACACTGTGTCCCAGGAAGCTCACCTGTTAATGGAACAATTCACACTTTTTGGAATTCACCTTAAGATTATCTTTCCTCAAGTGATCCAGAACTTTCCTTAGTCCATCATAAGCATTATAAAATGTCTTTCCATATGATATTATGCCATCCAAATAGATGAGAACAGTATTTCAGTGTAGTTCAGAGCCATCAGTTGCTGCAATTTAGTAGGTGTATTACATAATTCAAATGGTAGCACAACAAACTGACATAATCCATTTCCTGCAGTAAAGACTATATTCTCTCCAGTTGCTTCATCAACTTGTACTTGCCAAAATCCACTCTTACGACCCAGTACTGAAAACCATTTTGATACATTTAGAGTATCCAAAGTAGAGTCAATCCTTGGCAGTGGGTAGGCATCCTCCTTTGTGACTTCATTCACCTTCCAGTAGTCCATGCAGAACCTTGTGGATACATTAATCTTCTTCATAAGTATAATGTGAGGCCAAAAGACTAGCGTTCAGTTCTACTACTCCTTGTTCCTTCAAAGCTTATATCTCTTTGAAAGCATCAGCCTGTTTTGCAAGAGGAAGTCATCTAGCTAACTGATGTATCGGGCTGCATTTCCAGTATTAATCTTATCAGATACACTAGGTCCTCGTTACACATTGCATTGCTCTGGTATATTCCATTATTAGAACGTTCACCAATTATATAATTATTATTAATAATTATTATTATGTATCAAACAACATTGCCTTGTTTCATTATTATTGTTCCAACATCGTCAACTACTTTATCAGGTGTACTGTTTACCAATTGCTACCAGTATTTTTTGAAACATGATGCCAAAAAGACTAGAGTTGTACTACTCCTTGTTCCTTCATGGCTTCTACCCCCCCTGAAAGCACCAGCCTGTTTTGCAAGAGGAAGCCACCTGGCTAACTGATATATCGGGGTTGGACATCACAATGTATAAAGGGGATCCTCTGTATTTGTTCGGCCTAGGTAATGAGGTCTACTGGAGAAAGTATCTTGATATTCTGTAAGCAAGTCATGTAATCTATGTGATTTATCAGTTCTACGACCTCCACAGCTCCATTCATACAACTCTTGCAAGTGAAGTGGTAAGCTGCCCTTATGAAAGGATTTGGCATCAGACTTCCTACATCTTGCCTCAAAGGTGATTACTTCTAATGTTGTTTGATAATGAAATATTACATGTACAGCATCATAGCTTGAAATGTTCCATTCAGATTTTACTTGAATTTTATGTTTGTTGTGTTCATGGCCCTAATAATATTTATCCAACCATTAATTCTTCAGCATATGCTGGAGTGTTTAGTTCCACAATGGCCAAATCACTAAATGTAAATTTATTCCCAATAACTCCTGGTATGAGTACTTCACATCTTAACGGTACAGTGACTCTCTTCTTACTGTCACTGGTATTTCAACTATGGTGCAGTAATAATCATGTAATGCACAGAGAATTCCTGGTCATAGACTATGAAGCTATTTGAATCTAGCCTAACATCACTCTCATGTCTCCACGTGAAGTCAGTTCTCATATTGCACTCTTCCTTAATGTCAATTGTCCATATATCATGGGATGTAGAGAAGAAGAGTAACTTCAATTTTCCTCTTGTCGAAACTTTATGCCTTCATGCTGTTTGGATCAGTTTATCTTCTCTCTTCATTGCTAACTTCTCAAATTTCATTATCAAGCAAGGTCAAACAACTGTACCTGTAGGACCAGAACTAATCAACATAATAATCAATAAACCTGTGAACTTGTGGAATGGTTTTATTAAATTATTAACTTATCTCTTCTGGGGCAAATGGTGTATTCTCAGTCGAGCTTCACTCACATGTCCAGATAATTCGTGTTTTCTGACATCTGGTTAATAAAAGCTATTAATTAATAACAGTCTCACCTATAATAACTAGGTTTCCCAAACTTATAGCAGTTTCCTTTTTTGAAATCTTTTGTGAGGTGTTGTTTTATTTCCTCTATTCCACTTAACTAGCTGTCTAACTAATCCTTTCAGTTCTTCTAGATACTGTCAGGAGGAATCGATATTTTAATAATACTTGATCTGATGGTCCCATAATTTCTAAATAGTACCTTTATTTGTTATCTGCAACTTTAATGGATTCAAGTTCCATTGCCAACTGGAAAGTTTCTTTTACAGATGTACATCAATTTTGCTTCAGCCTAATCCATACAGCCTCATCTACTATGCCATCTTTCAAATGGGACATCCAGATAGGATAATTGGGCAAGTCTTTCCAAATCCTCTGCAAGTTTGGATAAGGTCTATTTTTTCTCTGTATCCTGCTCCACAACCTTACTTTGGATACTTCCTCTGATATAACACTGAACCAGATTGATAAGGCAGCTACATATGTTTGATGATTATTATGGCTCTCAGCTGGATGGTTGATTACAATCATTGAAGCTGGACCTTTCAAATGGGTAGCAAGATAAATAGCTTGTTGTTCACTATTCCACCCATTTACTCTGGAAATGTTTTCAAACTGAGCCCGATACACTTCCTATGGTACTTTTCTATCATAGTCAATTGGTTTCTTGTTTGAGCAAAGCTGATGAGCTGGCCAGCTAAAATCTGAAATTTAATTTGGTAATGCCATGGCTGAAGTAGTCCAGGAAGTTCTTGCAATCACAGATGGCACAGCAATAGTGATAATAGGTTTAGACCAAATAGTTTCTCCTTAATGTTTTACCAATAATCGGTTCAGCAATTTGAATTGGTAGAATTTGTCATATTTCCAGATCATGGAAAAAATGACTGCTAAAAAATTAAAAATAACACCACCCAGACCACTTTATTCACAACAACAATCTTCTGATTTATAAGTACTCTTACAATCATGACCCTGTACTTTTTCATTCGACACAAAACATTACCCTCCAAAGAATAAAATATCATTAGTTAAAACAATTTCTGTCTGTTTCTCTCTATTAATGCAAGTTGAATGAAAGAAAGGTTAAAAAACAATACTCCGCACATCAAAAAGCACACCTTTCTTTATGAACTGTATATTAGCAAATAGTCAATAACAGTACTCTATGCACAGAGCTAATACACACTGTGTGCCTGCTTGAGATCTACACAGACTTTTCCTGCGAAGTTCTCCAGATGATACATCATGTGGCTCCCTGTTAGTACCGCACTTTGGTTTTCTGCACTAGAAGTTTTATGCTCAGTTCACCAGTTCTTAGGAATAAAAAATTTTTTTGCTCTTTTTACAATGTCCATCTTGCAGCACTGGTCATTTCTCAATTTCACACCAAGAGAAAAACATTTAACTCTTATTATTATTGTACCTTCCAAAAGTAGAATGACCTACAACTTATTTTTGGAAAAGTCTATTTGGGGCGTGGCTTCGATCTAAGTACAACAGAGCCACATTCGATACAGTATACAGCAACACACAATTCATGTACAAGTTGAAGTTAGTACATGGATGCTATATGAACTATGAACATTTGTGCCATGTGCACACTTAGTTTACGGTACATACACTGACACTCCTCAGCATACACTATGTGTGTGCAGCCTACATTATATTACATGTATGCCTTAGAATCACACTGGATTATGAACAAAAACTTTCAAATGCTGTCACTTTATTTGACCTTTGATTGTAATAGTTTGTTTAGTTTAAAAAGTGGTTTAGTTCAAAATTTGTAGAGTGATAGAAAACCCTTCAAACTTATGGCTGAAGTGAACGATGAATTTAGGCAATGAACCTCAACGATTTGTTTTTCACAATAGTCACATAATATTATATATCAATCATGTACTAGTCACAAGGTTAGTCCCCATTTTTATTTTTCACTCATTCAAATAAAAAACAGAAAAGAGGTCGTGAATGGAACATTTATTGATAACTTCAACCATTTAAAATTTAATGAAGCTTCAAAGTACATTCTCTGTAGTCCTTACAATTTTTATGGTTAAACTGTCAAAAATACTACACAGTAACATCATCAACTTTACCGTATATAATCAGTATCAGGCCAAGTGTGCACTATAATAATTGGCAATCAGTGATTTCCAATTGTGACATGATTGGTAAAACAGTAGTTCTCCTATTCCATATTTAATAGTAAATAGTGTTTTAGGTTAGAATTCTTTAGTGGATGAAGAAAGAGGTATGACTGGTTTGATCTTTGAATTTACCAATTCTTTTTCCAAATGTTTTATTCTGCTACTGATGCTATTTTCTATTTCACCGATGTTGCTGTTTTAATCTTTCTGTATTTCTTCAGTTTTTCATTAAAACCTTTCTGTACTTCTGTACATTTCTGTCATTAGATTTTTTGTACTTCTTCAGTATTTTTGTTGTAATCCCTTTGTACATCTCCAATAGCTTCATAGATCTTGTCTTCAATCAGATTAACTTTTCTTTTTAATTCTTCTTTAAATATTATTTCTCTTTTTATATTATTATAAATAATAAATATTTATGCTCTTAAATTTCTGTCTCTTACCTCTTGATCTTCTTTTCCTATGTTTTTCTTCTTGGTCTTCTTTTAACTTTGTCTCATTCTTCTTGATCTCTTAATTTTGTGTCTCATTCTTCTTTTAATAGTTTCATCATTTCCAGCAATTTCCAATCTTGTTTCATACTCATGTTGTTGTCATCTTGAAATTTAGTCAAAGTTATATTATATTTTCACCAAAATAATCCAACTTGTGACACAAATGTTGTAATGTATCCTATAGTAGGGCAGGTTCTTTTGGATTTTTTGGTAAAAATAATACCAAGTCCAGTCTATGTAATGATAAAGTAATATATTTCTTCCATTTATGTTTGCTATAGCCATGTTCAGTTGTAGAACTAATTTCATAAATAAAACTTTTCAACATAAACTCCAAACTAATGTAAGCCAAACTTACTTAGCTTAAATTTACAAACAGCTAACTCACCAAATAACTGAATAGCAAAACAGCCATGATAACTCTCACTTCTAGCACTGAATACTTTTTCTGACATTGAAGTGAATCACTCACTGAATACTCAATAACTGCTTATTACTTTACTGATTCTTGTATTTATAATATACCCTTATTTCTACATACTTCATGAAATTTCTAATTAATTACATCTCCTTTTAGCAAACATAAGAATTAAAATATTAAAAATATAGCTTGCAGCATTATGAATTTAATAATAATAATACTGTTCATTGTCAAGAGTTACTTTGTTGTTAATTATAGAAGTTTAATGCACCACTGTTTACTCCGTGTTACAGGATTCCTCACAGGACTTCACAATCCAAGAAAGAAGTATGCTGTAAGCTCCTTTTTTTTTATTTAAATGTCTGCATTGTTTTGACAAAGGAAAATTTATATTACATGCTTAGCATGTGGCTTAATGATTGAAATCTTCTTGAATGTTAAGAAAATGATTTGAGTAGTAAAACATGAGTTAGGCTAGAGTAGAACATAATTTAATCAATTAGTCTATTACAGCATATGATTGATTACTGGGTTAGAAAACTTTTTAGTTTGTCTATTCCTATCACAAAGTTAGTAAGTTCAGTTTTGGGAATAATTAGATTGTGTTTCAAAGTACTACATACAATGACAGGCACATATGCAGGGGGGGGGGGGATGAAATTTAACTTAAACAAAAAGAATGTAGACTATGTAGAAAACATTAAATGCCTTAAGCAGCTACACTATAATTATATAAGCATAATCTTTTTACATCACAAAGGTGAGGGGTTTGAGTAAGTAAAATTGCTTCCAAATTTAATCTAAAATCACCTATTTTCTGGAGGAGCATGGCCCCATAGCATTAGTATGTTGATTGTACTTCACACAATATGTGTTAGCTTTTGATCTCACAAATTGGAATCATCCTTTCAAACATTCTGTGTATGGGTCTGAATGAGAAAATAATCAAGGGAAATTGTAGTGTTACTGTTAGCAACTTCTGTGAAATTTTGGCCTATTAGTAAACATTTGTAAAGTTAACCTATAGAATTTGAAGTTAAATGAAGTAAAAGGCTTTTTTACCATTAAAATGATTGAACATTGCATTCTTCTTTTTAATGAATAATCTAAAAAACTTATCCACCAAAAACCATTACAACAATATGAAGTTTAAATAATTCAAGATAGGGCTAAATGTTAATACACGAGTCATTATCGTAACTTAATATAAACTGTTTTACATTTCGTTACCTAATGAATTGATAACAACAGGGTGATTTTGCTACACCTTGATAACAATAAGGAGGTGAAACTATTCATAATCAGTTCATCTTTACCTTTAAAATCTTCCCCATGGAACTAGAAAATTTATCTGTTCACATATTCCCAGACATATTTTCACTAGTGGCCCATTCAATCTTTGTATCATATTCTAAGCTTCTTACACATTTACAACATGGAAAAAAAAAAAATAATAATTTATATCCTCAAAGCTTCATTGAATCTACCTTATAAAGAATGTTGCTAGAATGATTCCTGGAACTGAATGATTATCTTACACTAGCAATAAGCTTAGATTTTAACTGGGTTTGTTTTCAGCAAAGAGATTATCTTATTGAAGTTTACAAGGTTATCTGAGAGACTGACGGGATAAAGACATTTGAATCTTATTTGTGTGCATTATGAAAATAATAAGAGATGACACAGTTTAAGAATAAAAAAGGACATACTGAGCACCAATTAGGAGAGTGTGATTGGCTATGGCAGGGGTTGTTGTACTTTTGCTGTGCCCCCTTTGAAAATATTTCAGGCTGTGACACCCCCTCCCCAAACACATAGAAAATGATACTGCAAAACAAGAATGTGATAATACGAAGCATTTATTAAACATTCTGGAATCATAATTCCATCATCGGTATTCTAGACATACCAAATAAACAAACAATATTTGTAATTACAACAGAAATATCTATACATAAAAAATAAACAATTTGAATATACAATTATAACAATAGAAAATGAAAAACGTGGCACAGATGAAATAGTTAAAATAAGTCTAAATCAAGTGAAGACTGTGTATTATTTTGGGACAGAAGGAAAGTTTTTATGTGTAATGTTTCTTTCATAAGAAGTTCAGTATAATGTTTGACTGTTGAGAGAATTTTAAAGTTGGAGAGAGAAATCAGATGTCCTGTTTCTGTATTGTGCTGATAGTGATAGATAGTAGAGTTGGGAGGGTTTATAACCTTTCTTCCAATTTTTTAGATATGCCCATGTATTCACATGATACTGATAGCAAATTACAGACTGGACATACTAAAAATATCCGTTATCGCAGTATTTTTCATGATCTTTGAGAAATGCTGGGCTATGAAACGAGTTACCATCAGTAGTTAAGGGCAGCACTTTACTGTTTACAGGAATCAATGATTATTATAAAGCTTAAAGGGCAACGTCATTGTTACTATCTCAGTATCTGTAACCTAGTTTGTAATGTGCCGTAGCCTAAGTACGAATAGTGAATGATAGTACTAATGATGGCCTACTCTGTTTACAGTTTGACACTTACCATTGAACTCAACATCAGTGACAAAAGTTTACTCACACGAATCACAGAAATTAAAAATCATAAAATCACTTTGAAATCTTGACTTTCGTTAGTAATGTAATGTTCTACCTCTACACCATACAATTTTAATAATACAGTAATCACCTCCAATGATTTGAAGTGTCAGACTATGGGCTTGACTTTTTACACTAGAGCTACTCGTTAAGCCTTACGCGTTAAAAATAGTGCCAAGGCTATATCCAATCCAATTCAACCTTTGACAATTATTTTGATTTTTAAGTCTCACAGGCCGCATGGAGACCTGCAAGACAAATCAGGAGCTCTCAGAAACTTATGTTTCTCCTCGCCCCACACTCGTTTTAAATCTAGCTTAACAGAGGGTGCGATAGGTTTAAGCTGGCGGTTAAGTCTTAGTAGTGGTTGGACTTTATACATGTGGTACGATAGTTTTCAGTTCGCGGGTTAGTTAGTAAACATGCTTTGCCGGTGTATGTTCAATCCGATCGTGGTGTTTGTTGTTGTTCTTGGCAGTTATTTTGATTTAAAAATAATTATCTCCTAAGAAATAATTATTAATCAAGGGTGCTCGAAGATTAAACAATCCTCCTTCACCTCGCGCGTGGTCTAGGAATATGGGCTTAACTTGAGAAAATAGGAAATTAATGTAGACAAGGTATGTAAGTTATCTTGGTGTTTATTTTGGTTGAGTATCTATAAGAAGGGGTCAGAAACTTCTGTTTCTCTTCACCCCACTTCGAAGTCAATTGATAGGGACTTTAACAAGAAATGGATTGAAGTTCTTTAAACTGGTAATTTGATGGAGATTAAATCTTTTCACGCGACGTGTTACCTCAAGCTGTCCGGAAAAACTGGGAATTATGTGCCAGTCACGAGTTGCACACAAGATTCAAAGCTAGAGAAGGTAATAAGAGTAAAACGGAGATGATACTTGTGGTGACGTTGTAGCGCTGGAGTTGAGGATTTTCTTATCTTGTGGGACTGAAGTTGTTAATACTGGTCGATGAGAGGTTGGATCAAGCACACAAGTTCCGATTAAACATAATCATATCTGTTTCTAATGTTAGGTAATTTTTATAAGATACGAAGTTTTATTTTATTTTATTAGTTTATTCTTGCATTGTATATTCTTTAACTAAATGACTTGAAAATATTGTTGGCCTTAAGTAAGTAAACGGCCTTTTCTCAGGTAGGCGGGGGAATACTCCGAGAAAACCCACTGGTACGTCACCGATATTCTACCCTACGAGTACCTTAAGAAAGAAAATTTGGGACATATATAGTTAAATATTGTTACGACAACGCAGGTCACGTGACGCTTGTATCACGCCACTTCCTTCTCGAACCTTCATGAAATATCGGGAGTTTACTAGATCTCGGTATTCTTTTATATATAAGACGGTCACAACGTGACGGCAATAAGGTAATGTGTAATTGAACTGAGTATTGTTGAGTCGAGCTTGAAAATTATAGCGTTTGTTACAGCGCGACTGTTGAAATTAAGTGTATCGCAAAGTTATATTCAGAAAGAATAAACCAGTTTTATTTAAGAAAGGACTTGTATCGGTAAAGTTTCTTCGGAAATAATTTTTACGGAAAATTAATTAACGGACTGAGATGTAACAAGTTGGTGTCAGAGAGTGGGACAGAAAAAAAAAGGAAACGAGAGGCGGCAAATCAAACTACAGCTTAGCAGACTTGATGGCAGCAATACAACAGCAGCAAAATAAACAAGAAGAACGAGAAGAGAAATTCCAGCAATGGTTGGAGGAAAAAGAAAAGAAAGAAGAAGAGAGACAACAGCAGTTGTAAGAAAACCTGCAACAGTGGCAGCTCGAACAACAAAATAAACAAGAAGAGAAATTACAGCAGTTGTTAGAGGAAAAAGAAAAGAAACAAGAAGAACGATTACAGCAGTGGCAAGAAAACCTACAACAATGGCAGCTCGAACAGCAAAATAAACAAGAGAGATTACAGCAATTGTTGGAGGAAAAAGAAAAGAAACAAGAAGAACAAGAAAAGAAACAAGGAGAGAGATTACAGCAGTGGTTGGAGGAGAAAGAAAATGAACAAAAAGAGAGACTACAGCAGTGGATGGAAGAGAAAGAAAATAAACAGGAAGAAAGTCTCCAACAGTTGCAGAAAAGTCAGCAGCAACTATAGGAATATCAACAACAGTAGCAAGAAGTACAAATGGAAAACATTAGTAAATTTAAAAGTGAATTAGATACATTAAAAGATGATTTATTGTCTTTTACACAAGGAGGATACATTAACCATCGACTTAATCAGCCCCAGACAATGGCAAGCTCCTTCCAGACCCCCACAGCTAAACCCTAATGCAGACATCTTCAGCCCTGTTAGAAGTCACATCCCAGATATGAATGTCAGTAATAGGAGTGATCCAGTAAAAAGGAAGCCACAGGTACGATGGAAAGCACCATGGGAAGCGTATAGAGCACAATTTGAGCTACTGGCAGAGATGAACGGATGGACAGAGGAGTAAAAAGCAGTATATCTGGCAACGAGCTTGAAGGGACAACCACTGGAAATACTTGGACAGTTATCAGCAGACGACAGACACAACTATAGAGCAGTGGTAGTATGGAATCCAAAATCAGTCAGAAGTCTACAGGGCTAGGTTTAGGATGAGAGTCCGTGCTAAAGGGGAGAGCCTGCAAGAGCTGGCACAGGACTTGGAAAGCATGGCACACAAGGCATACCCAACTGCACCACCGATCTCCTCAAGTTGTTACTGAAGGATCAGTACATAGATGCCTTGGACAGGCCACAACTAAAAATACAAGTGAAGCAAGCACACCACTCTACCATGCAGGATGCAATGGCCAGAGCTCTCGAATTTGAATCCTACATTAAGTCCAGCACAGAGGTACCAAGGTTGGTACGGTCATCTGGATTCAAGGCCAGAAAAGGTCAGCTTTCAGAGAAGTTTGAGGGACTTTGCTGGCACTGTAACAAACCTGGGTACAAGAGAGCTCAATGCTGGCAACTTCAACACAGGGGAGATGCCACAGCAGGAAAGGCTGCCACCCAGAATGGCTGTTGGAACTGTGGGGAGCAAGGACATATGAGGAGCCAGTGTATGAAGAATATTACCAACAAGTCAGCCTCAAGGAGACCAGCAGTGATTGGTGTTGAGGGACACTCACCAACCCCCATCATGAAAGTCCCTACAGCTAGGTGTAAAATGCCAAGCACACACAGCGTCTATGTGACAGGAAAGCTGGATGGCCAAAAGGGCAACTTTGCCATAGATTCTGCGTCTCAGTAAACCCTTGTGAGCAT